GAAACACATCCCACTGGGGTGTCGCCAATGATGGGGTACTGCTGGTGCTCTCCATGGCTCTCTGTGCAGGATGGGCGCTTCCTCTGGGCATAGATCTGAAAAACATGGGCTGTGTGGTTGCAGCACTCTGGCAGAAGGGGAAGCTGCTGACTGCTCCTGAACATCCCCAGGGTGCCCTACTCTGCCCAGCCACGGGATCTGCTCTCCATTACCCTGCTGAGCTGAGGAGATGTCCCCTGGGCCCACAGCACCACCAGGACACCGAGTGCCCACTCCTCCTTCTGCTCCTTATGCCTGGTCCCTTGGCTACTGCTGCACTTGTAAGCTGACACTTATAAGCTCCCACCTCAAAATGCTGGAAAAGGTGGGGCAGGGAAAGGCGGTGTCACCTGCTGCTGGGGAGAGGAGCAGCCCAACAGGTTCTTCCCCTGAGCCCAGCGCCCAGCACAGCACAGAGACATCTACCTGTGCCTTGTGCATGGCTTTCACAATGTTCTCTGGCCTCACCCGTTTGTTGATACAGGAAAATGCAGCTTTGACTCTCACCTTCCCTGGTGCCTAAAGAGCTGCCTGAAGTGCAAGCAGCTGCTCCTGGGTGTCGCTGGCATGGCCAGGTACATAAAGCCCAAGTGTGTGAACAAAGCAGAGTGGGAATGGATACACAAAAGCACATTCACCATCCCTACACATCGAGGCAATGTTGCAAATGCACTGGTGATGAAAATGCAACAATTTCACTGGGCAGCACTAAAAAGTGTCCTGTGTCCCTGCTGAGATCAGCCCCAGCCCAGGTTGGGGTTGCGTTTATGGGAATGTTGGGCAGTGGGTGGTTTTCAGGCACAGTCCCATCCCCTGCCGTACGCAGCAGGTGAGCTGTGCCCTGCGGTAGCCACAACCTGGAACTGCAGTGCCAAAGCCCATTCAGAACCACACTCTAAATGGTGAGTGCTGAGAGCACAACCTATGGGGCTGCAGAGCCTTTCCTTTGCCTTATAACATGCTCAGGTCCCTCCACATCTTCTAGGAGTGCTGGTGTTGCACCTCCCGAAGGAGAGACGTCTGGGCCGGTGCTGAGGTTGTGCTGGCACACTTGACTTGGAGAAGAGAAATGCTCGTTGGTGAGCCAGCCACGGGAGCTGCTAACCCCTCTGCCACCTCCCGCTTTCTCTTTTGAGCTCTCATTCTGCCATTTCTTATCAACCCAAAGCACCTCCCACATCAGGTGCTGTGCACTTGCAGCACAGTCTGCACTGAGCTACCTGAGTTCAGTGCCATGCAGGGCTTGGCTTTATGTTTTCCCTCTGCAATGCGAGTACCACCAGCTGTTTCCTGCGTTGCCAACGAGGGAACGCAGAGACGTGCTGGGGGTGTCCCACACCGGGCTGTGTCTGTGGGCGCCGCACAGAGCACAGGGACTCAGCTGCTCTGGCTTCAAATCCTCACTCTGCCACAGTGGAAATTTTGCCCGTTTTGTGCATTCAGGTCACAGCGCGGTCCCCCTCGGTTCCTGGCACAGGCGGCAGCGCTTTCCTCGCCAGAGATTGTGAGCAAGGAACATCCGTGGCATTGAAATGCGGCCGCTGAAGCCGGCCTTTATCAATGGTCCGGGGAGACGCGGCCACGTGGGTGCCGAGCCACAGCCGGCGCTGTATCTCTCAATGCCGCTGCAAGGGGGTTTTTTAAAGCTTTCCCAGCTCTGTATCCCTCCTACAGTGACCGCCGCCCCCGAGGGGGTCCGCCCCGCAGCCGCCCGCAGCCCAGCGCCCGACCGCGAGGTAGAAGCCGGAGGACTTACTGTGCTCAGCTGGGTCTCATTCTGCTCCCTCGCGCTAGGCACCACCGAGCCTCTGCCAACTGACGGGCAGCTTAAATATTGCCAGAGAATGGGGATTTGCCAGCGGAGCTGTTAACAGTGTCACAAGGAACGAGGAGGAATATTTATAGTCAAAGTTAAACTAATTGCCCGAAGTTACTCGTTCGGTCTCCCGAGGCTGTGGTGAGAAGCAGTTATTTTCACCGTCAGCGCTCATAGGTCAAACTCCAAAGAGTGCCATCCTCTTAAGCAATCTGCGCAGCTCATGAAGGGACAAGTAACAATGAAAGTCTGCGCCGATGTCCTCGCAGGCTGACACCACAAGACACAGGAGGGAGCTGACAGCCCTGCGTCTGAATGCGTGCCTGAGCTTCACAAAGGGCAGGATTCAGCCGTGGGCTGGGGTCTGTCTGCGAGCCTGTAGGTGAACCCCAGGACTGAGTTCCTTTCTGAGATCAGGGTGGATAAGCATTCGCAGTCAAATAAAATGTGCTGAATGGTGCTGAAGGGACCTTCCAAAAGGAGAGGCTGCGGCAAGAAGTGCGGTGCAGCTGACGCCCAGGCATGGGTGCAGCTGACGGCCAGGCAGAACTGCCATTGCTGGCTGCCCTTGAGCAGAGCCTGCAGGTCGTGTCATGCCACAGCTCTCTGTGCTGCCTTTCGGGAAACCTCGCCTCTCTTAAAACCTCTGCTGTTAGAATGAGAATTACAACTTTCACCTTTCCTTTTCTAGACAGACAGTGGAGGAAAGTTAAATATGTAGTGATGAAAAGGAGCACCCCAAAGCAAGCCAGAAGGAAAGTAGGAAAACCTGTTTTTTAGATCAGATCACACTGATGGATGTAACCAATCTTGTGGCTGGAGGTGCTTTCGTTTGATCTGCTAGAATGTGGAAATGCCAGGATTTCCTAAATTGTGTTAGAACAACACAGAACCTCAGGAGCCATGAGCCGAGCACCCGGGTGCCCTGTGCTACCTCCAAGCTGTGATACTTTCTGACTTCCAGCCCTTCCCCTCCGTAGCTGAAACTTCAGTTTGTCTTTTGGCAGCTCTCAGGGTCCAGGAAAAAAAGCACAGCTTAGGGCACTTCTAACAATGCACACAGGAGACTCGTTCAGACATGTTCCAGCGTGGCTTGGAAACGTCACAGAGTCGGAAGGGACCTTTGGAGATCATCTGGTCATCCTGGTGCTAGTTTGTCCCAGCCAGTCTTCCAGCTGGAGCTGTGGCCAGGACTTCACCATGGCTTTGCTGAAGCAACTCTTTTTATTTTATTTTATTTTATTTTATTTTATTTTATTTTATTTTTAATATCCTCCCCATTTCTTGCAGGAAAGAGTGTAACCCCCTGGGCATTCCCACACGTGAAGTGCAGCCTGGGGTCACCTCAGGGCTGGCTGGTAGCTGGATCCTTTCCTAGGACACACTCCCCAAGAAGGTGACCCACGGCCAAGATTGTGGTGCTGAGGATGGGCTGGGCAGGGCTGGGAGTTCCCACCTGCTGCATGGGGCTGGGAAAGGATTGCTTAACACATGAAGTTATCAGGGAGAAACCAAAGAGCACATGGCAAGTGTTGCTGAGGCTGACTCACAATCCGTGTGCCCAGGATTGACTTCTACCCACAGGTTGGTGCCAGCTCTGTGTAGAGCCCCCAGGGAGCAGCTGCCATGGAGCAGGCCACTGTAAACAAGCTAAACTGCAACTAGGAGATCTGATAGCAGACCAGCCCCTATCTCTGCTGGTGGCATAAAGAGAGATAAATTGCCCCAAGGACATTGCCTCAGCTGCAGCCAGGAATTCCTTTTCAGAGGGGAACAATTCACAGGCTCTCACACACACAGCTGTTTTCTTCTGAAGGCTGCAGAAAAAAATCCCTACTATTTTAAGAATTTGCTGCTGATATTCATCGTACTGGCTTGAATTCTGCTCACAAATAACTCTTTTCTACATGACTGCAGTAACTTTCCCCATACCAGCAGGGTCAGATGATGCACCTCCCCAGTGCAGGTCAAGGGACTGATAGCGAGGTGTGCAGCCACACAAGTGCCAAACGCAGAATTCCTCTCACCTCCATCTGCAGCTGTTGTACAAAGCAGTTTTCAACAGAGCAGAGATGTACATGCAGCCAGGAGGCAGAAGGCAGCAGCTTTATTTTGGGAACAGCACATAGGCATCAGGTAGATACTGAACCATGAATACACACAGTCCCATTATCAAATGATAGAACCGTATCTCAGAAGTTCTGGGTTTTGAAATTTGAAAATATTCACATAAAAACACCAAGGAGGCCGGGGCTCTAGCTATCCTGCAAAGTTACAACACGTAGCAAAATCTATTTACAGCACTTTCACATTTTTAATGATGGTTGCATAATAACCTCCAGCGGTTTGAATTTTTAATACATTTTTACAAAAAAAAAACAAAACCAAAAACCAAAACCTGAATGCAGTGAGAACATCCAAACCATGAAGTGGAGATGGGTGCGCATTGCGCTGCACCATCACTGGGGGAGAGAAGAGCTCTGACAGCACGAGGCTGGGAACCGCCTGGCACTTACAGCTGTATAAACCAAAAACACGTGGGGAGAAGGGTTAAAAAAAAGTATTGAAAAGAGAAGATTTGAGGGTTATAAGGTCTCCCATAAATAATGCACAGGTTGGTAACAGTGTGTTTCAGCACAGTAAGAGCTCTCACTCTGGCATCGGCATGGGGGGGTCACCTAGGCGTCAGCGAGTGGGGGGCTCAGGTGGGTGGGACGCGCACAGCAGTGGCTGCGCTGTGCACCGAGCAGAGCCTCGCTGTGTAACGCACTGCCGTGTTGTGCCGCAAAGCTGGCGGGCGCTGCGTGGTCTGGAGGCACGTGCACGGACTGCAGGGTGCTGCTAGCCCTTTGTCCAGGGACATCTGGCGGGGAATTGCCTTGATTACAGCAAACAGCCGCTGCTGCAGGATGGATGTGCATCAGGCTCCTGAGACAGCCTGCAGGGACTGCTCAAGTCATAGTACATCCCCAAGCCCTGGGAGCGGGTTCCAGAAGGCACGGGGTGCTTCTGGCTGCTCTCTGCTGCTCTCAGGGCAGTACCAGGGCATCAGAGGGCTCCCGTTCATTTTTAAGCTACCAAAGATTTTGTGCTTTCCAAGGAGGCGCCAAAATGCTCAGGGATCCCTGGTTCCTGGTGAGTTCGGATAAGTCTAGTGCTGATGACATCAGATTACTGGGAAAATTTCTGTCAGTCACTGACAAACTCTTATGCAAAGCTGATGGCCAGGAAGGGCTGTGGGGCTTTTCTTGCTCCCCTGAGCAGCTGGGCAAAACCAGCCTGGATCTTCATTTAGGACTACATATTGTGTCACTGGGGTTCTGCAAGGTCTCATTTCTTCCCATCGCCTCAGCATTGCTGCACAGTGTACCCCATCCCTGGTGCTTCCAGCTCGGGCTCCTGGCATCAGGGCTCTGCACCTGCAAGGGGAACACTACGTACACATCCTGCATGAGAGGCTGGGACATTGCACAACCACACAGAACGTGGTTGTGGGGATGAGTGACAGGGCTCCAGTGAGCCCTGGTGCCAGGAGTGTGTGCCATGGGAGCACAGGGCAGCGGGGTTTCACCCAGATGTGTCTGCAATCCTTGATTCTGTGATACACTAGAAATGAAGGACGCTAGGAAGGATGCCATCAAACCAGCACAGGGTTTCCCTTTGTGCACCAGTGTCTCAGCCTCGTCTCCATCTGCAGCCATCCACACGTGTGCTCAGCATCCACGCTGCCCCGGCCCCTGCGGTTCTGCTCGATGGTGGCAGGTGGCAGCAGCCTATTTACAACCAAACTCAATGGGAGCAAATTGCACTTCATTGGCAACGAATCCTTGCGCCTCATGTTGTCACCAGGCAAGGGGGGATGTCATCCTGGGGCTGCGCTGGCTGTCTCCAACCTGCACATCCGTGAGCGCCCGCTGTGGGGAGAGAGCAAATAGCAAAGAATCAGGTGAGGTGAGGAGCACACTGCAGAATGTCCCCCCCTGCATCGGGCACCAGCTTCAAACTTATTGGGTGTTGGAAAAATGTCCATTTTGCTGCTTGCTGCTGCTGCAAGGAAACCCTTTTCTGACTGCCTTTGAAAAATACAACTCACCTCAAACTTGCTCATGAATTCTGCAAAAATGCCAAAGAAAGCTTCTGAAGTTGTCATTTTGGAGTCTTCCCCAAAGAAAGACAGCACCTTGCTGAACTCCTCCATGGCCCTGTGCTGCAGGTCGTCCAGTGAGCGCATGGCAGGCTGCGCGCTCTCCAGGAAGGACTGGGAGGGATGGCGTAAAGGAAAACAACCCAGACTGGGGCCTGGCATGGACATCACCACTTCTAATGGCTACCAGGCAGGGACAGCGGCCACTAAATGGTTTTACTGGAGGGCAGCAAGTGTGCTGGGGACTTGCCTCTTTTACAGAAGGATACGGTCATCACGATGGCAAACCGGTCCTCGGCGGTGGCTGGCATGCTGTGGCAGGCCATCTGGATGTCAGTGACAGTGGAGTGAAGGTCCTTCAGGTCGGCTGTCAGTGTTCTCTGGTTCACTGCAGAAGAAGAGGAGTGGGCAACGTTCCCCAGCTCTGGCTGCCTCCTGCTGCCAACTCAGGCACTGCACATCTCCTTCTGCCCTGCCTTGTCCGTGGGGTTTAAACAGCAGCAAGGCCACATGCAAAATCCAGCTGGGAAAGCTGCCAGTACAGACCTTCATCTAGGGAAAACTTGCACCTCTGGGGCTGAGTTATCTTATCTTTATTTATCCTCTGCAGCACCAATTCCCAGGGGAATTTGCTTGCCACCCAGGAAGGGATGGAGTGCCAGGAGGACCCCCATGGTTGCCTGCAGTCATCCCACGTGCCAGCATGCAGAGGGTGACCCTAAAATCTTTGTGATTTCTTTATGGCAGCTCACTGAGCCCTGTGATCCTCAGCCTGGGCTGTACCTGTGGTTGTACCGTGGACGCACAGCATACATAGCCAGCAGTCATCAGCATGGGTCAGCTGGGACCTCCCTGTTGCTAACCTCATGCTTTTGCATCCTCCTTCTCTCACTCAGCACCATTCCTCCCGGCTTGTGCCAATGGTGAGCAGCTCATGGCCAATCCAATACCCAACCGTTCACCAAACCCTATCCCCTACACCCACAATGAACCATGAGGCTGTGTAGATGCTCCCACATGTGTTTGTGTTCCATTACCTTTGGCAGCGAGCGGCACTGTGGGAAGATCCTTGGCAAAGCCCAGAAGCTCTGGGAAGTGTTGGCTGAGAGATTTGGCAAGGATGTGCAGGAAGGTGGATTTCCCATCAACGGTCTTGGTTGTGTTCAGCTGCAGCAAAGCAAAGAAAGGAAGTAGGCCCTATGCAGAGTGGGTTTGGGAAGCACCCAGCAGCTCTGGCTGCACAGAGGCTCCTCCGTGCTGCCCATCTCTCATTGCATTGCTGCTGGCACTGCTGCCTCTTGCATGAGGAAAAGTAAGCTCTGTGTCCTTACCTCTGTGAGGAAGTTGATTTTGAAGCCTGTCGTTTTGCTGGTCTTGGGCTGCCCGTTGTTCAAGTAGTTTCCCATGGCCAGCACAAACTGCAAAGAGAAACCACAGTGACTGAGCAGCACAGGCAGTGCCCATCTCCTTTGGTGCCCATCTCCTTTGGTGCCCATCTCCTTTGGTGCCTGCTTTTGGGTCAGATGGATGTTCAATAAATTCAGCTTACTTTAGCACTGTCCAGGAGCACCTTCCCTCCCTGCAGCACTTGTGCTTGGTCTGGATCAGTGCCTTTGCCATTTTCAGCACAATAGGATTTTGTCTCTCAGCAGCATCCCTTGCAGGAACAAAGTTAATTCTGGAGGCTGCTGAGCTCTCCCTGTCTGCAGGGTAAGGAATGTCCCGCTGCCCAGTAAATCCTTCCCCTCCTAAAAACCTTTTGCAGATGTTATATGTGGATCTTTAACAGGAGCTTTAAAGAGAAAGCAGCAATCCAGCAGAGCTGTTCCCTTCCCTAAGGATCTGACTCTTCACACCATGGCTCTGGAGCACTGAGGCACTGCAGGGACAGGACCTCAGAACACCTGGAGCCCAGCCTGGGGCTCTGGATCCCTGCTTGCTCTTTGTTACCATGCAACCAGCATCTCCTCCCCAGCACTTAGTGAGGTGCTGGGGGTCACTGGCCAGGAGCCCATGGCAATTCATCTCTCATCCGGAAATGCCTTTTGTCACACTGTATCCTCATTGACCCCACCTGACTTTTTTTTAAAAGCAAAGCTGAGGGAGTTCACCATCATTTGGGGCAGCTCATTGAGCTCATCTGAGCATGGCAAAGCATGCCCAGCCCTGGGGTCACCAAGGGCTCCTCCCCACAGCAGGGCTGCTTCTGACCTCCAGGATCTTTGCCAGCTTCTTGCTGCTTTTCAGCTCCAGAGAGGCCTTGCAAATACATTCATAGCTCGCTTTGATCTCCTCCGTCTTCTCCTGCAGAGTGGTCTTAAAGTGAAGGCTGCGCAGTCGGATCTTGTACTCAGGTACTGACAGCATCTGAGAGCAAAAGGAGGAGGAAATTATTCCTGTCCTTGAACCACAGACCCTCCTAGAAGATTGAAATTTTTCCCTGTACTTAAAAATGGCATCATGCTGTAGGAAAGTGAGTGTTATAGCAATGCCCACAGGTCAACAGAAAGTAAGCCAGAGCTGGGCGAAGTCACTCCTTAGTGTGCAGCAAAAAAATGAGGCACGTTTTGGCCAAGGGACATTCAATGCTGCCAGCTCCCAGGCACCACTCACACGGTCCCTGTGGTGGGTGCCCCCAGCCCCCCCCAGCATCACAGCCCTGCGTGTTTTCTGCCCTGTTCTCCTTCCCTGCAGCACTCAGTGGGATGACCTGGATGCTGCACAGAGCACCTCCCTCCAGCAGGCACCTGCAGCACGAACTGGTCAGGCTCGCTCAGCTTGCCAGGGTTCTCCTTGTAGCTCTGGAAGCGCTGCACCTCCTCCCCATCCGGGGCGTACAGCAGGAGCTGCTTGATGTGGGAAGGCTCCAGGCGGTCCGTCTCCATCGTCATGAGGATCTGACGCAGTTCCATGTGTGAGAGCTTCAGGTGAGCGATCAGGATGGCTGCAGGGAGGATGCAGTCAGTGGCACGGCAGGCAGGATGTTTGGCGTGGCCGAGAAGCGTGGACTTAGCCTTGTGCCCAAGATGGCACAGATCTGTGCTCGGAGCAGGGGGGGCTTTCCACTGCCCAAGGCACTGCAGAGGCTGTAGGGAGTCCTGGGGCATCGCTGTCTCCCACAGCCCCCGGTCAGACTGTTGCGCTGCTTTGCATGGACATCTCCAGTGCAGCAGGGCACCGTGCCCTGAGCGCCTGCCCAGCCCCACACCAGGACAGCAGGACTCCACAGGTCCCACCATGCCCCCACCCCACCACAAGCACCAGAGATGTGGTGCTGAGCCCTGCCCACAGCCCTGCAAGCTCTTCCCAGGCCAATGAGTCACATCCCATCTCCATCCTGTCCTTCCCTTCCTCTGCCCGCTGCCCAGGCTGAGCCAAGGTCTGCAGGGCCTTCTGCTGGGTGACAAGGGCAGCTCAGACCAGGGGAGCTGTGCTGGGATGGTGCTCATGGGATGGTGCTCATGTAGCCTCCCTCCTTTTACCTTTCCAGCTCTCTACATCCCCGGTCCCATCTCTGGGCCTGTTTGGGGGTACATTCACCACAGTGTTTACTTACATGTGTTGTAGGCCTTTTTGTGGGACAAAATTTCAACCACGTCTTTCTTTTTAAATGTTTCAGGCATGAAAGTTGGCTCTGGAAGAGAAACTGAGAGATATAATCGTGGGTAAGGACAGGCTCAGCTGTCTCCAGCGGGAAGAAAACTGCTGAAAACAGTGAAACCATGAATGAGATAGGAGGACTGATGCTTGGCACACAGCAATGGCTCCGGGAATCCTTGAATTCTGCTATTCAAAGATCTCCTGAATGGAGGACTCGGAGCTGAAAAAGGTAAAATGAGAGGTGAAACACACAGAAAATCCTAGAAATATCCCCAAAATGACAGCTCCTGGCAAGGGTCACATAGCATCCCCCTCCCACAGTCCATCCCATCGGAACCTGCCCGCATGAGATTGGCTCTGCCCGTGCCTGCTGCCATTACTGTGTGTTATTACATACATAAACAGAAAAGTGTTACTTGTGGTGCCCTCTATGGACAGAGAAATGTGTTCACAGCTGTTTGAGGGCTGAGCTTCGGGAGCAGCGGAGCTGCGATGCGGTGCGTCCCCGTGTGCGGGCAACACACGTGTGTGGACAGCAATAAGCAGAGCCCATCACAGATGGGTACAACGTGTGCTGCAGGTTGGAAGCCAGGCCTGCGGTGGCAATGAGGAGCAGCTTTGGCACACAGGGTGGCGTGGTGCTGACTGAGCATGGCAGCTGGGAGCAGAACAATGCAGAGCTCTGCTGCCCAGGTTGGTGGAAATGCAGAGAGAAAACAGATAACGGCAGCAAAGAGAATTAAGGGAGACAGCAAAATGGTCTTCACCTTAATAGTCTGCAGTGCCAGCACTCCAGCACCCTGTGTGTGAATGGTGCTGTCTTCCAGGTGCCGGAATCAGGCAATGGTTGGTGACCATGGAGCACTGTGCCCCTCTCAGGCTGACCCCAGGACCTGCCCAGGGGCTCTATCACTTACTGGTTGGCTTCTGCGTCCCGAAATGAAGCTCCAGGTCGAGGTATTTGACCATGTCGCTCAGCTTGTCATAGTCCGAGTCCTCCCCAAGCTGCAGGAGGAAGAGGAGCAGGTGGGAACCTGGGCACTGTGCCCCCTCCCCACCACCACCTGGAGATCTGTGTTCCCAGGAAATCCCACACTGATGGCACTATTCTTATAAGACATTTATAATACTAGCAATGCCCTACAGAAATCTGGGGAGTCGTTCACCGCCTAAGGAGGTGCTTCTACACTCATCTCACAGGATTTACTCATTCTCTTTAGAGAAGATGGGAGGACACATTTCCATCCATCACTGCCTCCTTGCCCCATAGATCTGTTTAGCTCCTGTCCTGCACTGAAGCCCCACAGAGCAAGCTGCTCTCTGCCTGCTGCTGGAGAACAGCTGCTTTACTAAGAACATAGAATTCCAGAGATGCCTGGAATTGTTTGCATCCAAAAGTCACCGGGAAGAAACATTTCATTCTCCATGGTGTAGGGCAGAGGGATGTGCCCACTGGGATGCATGATGGGAGAGCAATCCTACTGCTCCCATCCAGCTGTTTGGAGCTGCCATCCAGCTAACATCATGGGTGGAAGCTGAGCTCCATTAGGCTGGAAGCTGAGTTCCCAAGGCCTGTATCTCCCTGCAGGGCCCTGAATCCACCTCTAGAGCTTTTCATTGCCCCAAGTCCGTGGTGCCAAAGGTTTATTGCACTGAGCCTCACTCTTAGCTTCTTCTTTGCCCCCCATGGGCTCTCCATGCTCTCCCTGTCAATGCTGTGAACCACATTTGCAGTTCCCCACTGATAAACCTGTGACTCCCTTGCATCTCCCAGGCCATACCTGTCCCCAGATGGTCCCCTCCGAGTTCTCCACCTGCTCCCACCGCAGCCTCTTGACACTCATGTGGTTGGTCTCGCTCCGGCGGTGCAGCAGCCCCCGGTGCAGGGGGGGAGCGCAGGGCACAGGTGGGGGAGGCGGGGGGGGAGGCGGAGGCGGAACAGGGTGCAGGTGGCCCACCAGGGGCTTGGGAGCAGAAGAGGTGCTGGCCTTGGGGGGCTCGGCCTTGGCAGGGACAGGTTGGGGGTCATGGAACTGCAGGGGGGGCGGCGGGGGCGGGGGGCTGAGCGGAGGTGGGGGGATGTGGTCCGACAGCGTGGAGTAGGTGAGGGAGCTGCCCTCGTCACTGCTGCTGATGTACTCGCTGCTGCTGACGTCGTTGGTGACATAGCTGCCCTGGTCATCGTGGAAGCTCATCTGGGGGGAGGAGGGGAGCGGATGAAGGTTGCTCCCATCAGCCATCGTGGGATGTTCTGAGCCCCCCATGGGAAAAGGCTGATGGAGCATTTCCATCACCACGCTCACCTCCTCGTAGTCATTCTCGGGGGTGAGGAAATCATCCACGATGGTGACACGGTGTCCCAGCTGCTCGCTGAGAGCGTCCAGGAAGCGGTCGGTGTCGCGGCTGCGTGGCGGCCTGGAGAAGGTGAAGAGCTTCTTGCGCCGCGACAGCGGGCTGAGCGGGTAGGGCCGGTGCTGGGGGGACGGGGCCGGGCTGCTGTCCAGGCTGACGTAGGGATTGGACTCGGTGCTGCTCGGGGACCGCAGGCTGCTGTGCAGGCGGTAGTAGCACTGCTGGGCGGCCAGTGGGTCGCTTGGCCATGAGACGGGCACCCCCGATCTGCGGGCACCTGCGGGACAGGGCGCTGCCGGGCGGTTCCTGCTGCCACTGGAGACCCCCCCACGTCTGCCTCTCTCCAGAGCTGAGGGAAATCGGGCGCTACCTGCAGCATGCGCCGGGTCGGGGGCTGGGGACGATGCGTGGTGCAGGGCAGCATTGCCCACCTTGCTGGAGAAGCTGCCCAGCAGGCGGTTCTCCAGTTCTGCATAGACAGCTGACATCTGGGGGAAAAAGGGCAAAGAGCTGCTGGAATCAAGGCCTGGCTTGTGACACACCCAGGGACCTGTGATGTCCCGGGGACAGGACATCCACCATGAACTCAACCACCCCCATCTCTCACTCTGTAGAAGACTGCACCACCCAGACCTGATGCTCCTTCGCCTTTACTAGAGCTCCCCCACTCAGCAGCCTCCGGCTCACAGGGCTGTGACAGACCCCCACGTTATTCAAGCTGATTGCCCAGAGAAAAGCCCGGGGGCAGGGATGCTGCCAGGCATGGACAGCAGTGCTGCACATCCCTCCTGCTCTCCCTTCTATCTGCTTTCCTACATTTACATGGAAGGGATCTGGTGATGCTCCCTGTGAGAGCAGAGATCCCGTGTTCCAGGGCAGTGGTGCCCGCAGGTGGTGCCCGCACCATTTTGGGGTTGGGTGTCTCTGGCAGAGACGTGCCATCGCCAGCCTGCCTCTCTCCGGGGATCAAGCGAACCGGGACCTCCACGGTGTCACTCTGCCCTGCTGGGAAACAGAGACAGACCTTCAGCAGCCCGTCCTGTGCATGCCCCCACAGCACTGACCCATGAACATTCGTGTGCTCAGTTATAAAATGAGAATATTTTGCATTTCTCTGGCCACCATGCTGGTAGGTTTGGAAGTTTCCTGTGAATCCTCAGCACCCGAGCAGTGCCGTGGTTGTGCTGTGGTTGCAGCTGTACCTTGCACAGCTGGACAGTGATATTAAAGAGAAGAGCCATTTATCCAGTGCACGTTCAGGAGTTTGGACAACCACAGGAGGACAGACATTTCAGACAAGGGGCGATATGTGGGGTTTCCTTTGAAAAGAGGAACAGTTTGAGCCAAGAATGGATTTCATCAATAGTCACAAAGTGCCATTTTGACCTGCTTTTCTCACAGTGGTTTCACAGATGCTGTTCTGCCTATGAACTTGGTGCTGTCTGACACAGCTCACAGGAAGCTGCAGCCTATGCCCCAAAGGGGGGAACCAGCAGCACTGGGGAGATGCGCATCACTGAAGGGGAGGAATGATTCTGATTACTGCAAATCCCATGGTCTGCTTACCCTTGCAATTCACTTCTGAGCAATAGAGGGGACTGGAAACAATGTTCAGGATCAGCCTAAGAGGCTTCTTATTGGAACTGCTTAACTTTCATAAATATGGATTTCCAAAGGCTCCATCTCCTCCCACCGACTGTGCCCAGGTCAGGATGTGTCAGGATGTCAGCGTGGCCCAGAACACCTGGGCACAGTCTGCAAGACCCCAGCCTCACAGCACCCACCTGCAGCCCCTCCTTCCTCGGGGCGGTTGGTCCGGAGGCTGCTCCGGCACAACGATGCCCCTCGCACTGAGCTGCGGTAGCGTTCCTCTGCCTCGGGCTCAGCTGCAGCAGGAAACACAGTGGTGAGACATGCACAGACCCACCAGACCCCCCCTTGCTCCACTGTTTGTACCAGGGCTGCCCCCAGCCCTTCGGCAACAGCTGTGCTCAAGGCTTTCCCCATCCTCAAGCTGCTGCCAGGAAGCAGACTGAGTTGCAAACGCAGATGCACAGAGTGGAAAATTGGAATTGATCCTTTTCCCAGCAGGATTGGTGTCCAGCAATAACTACCTGCCCTCGAGGGACACAGGGCAGTGGGAGCAGTGCTGTAACACTGCCTGGGAGAACCATTCTGGTGGTAGAATGGCTCAGAGGCTCAGACTCACAGCAGGACGGGGATACTGGAGTGTCAGTATGACGTGTCCCATGGACTGGTGTTCAGACAGACCTATAGACACAGGCATCAGAGACTGCCACTGAGTTTGGAAGAAGACAGGAGGAAGAATCACCCCAAATTCATGGATCTCTGGCCATGCTCCCACACATGGACACACATCATCAACCAAAACAAGCAGCACTCACAGACTGCCCCTCGCTGCCAGGGTGGGAGCCAGGGAGCAGCTTGCAGAGGGGGACGGGTCCTGGGGGACAGTGCCATCCTCCTCTGCCAGGGCTGGGGGCACACATTGGCACTCCTGGCACACAGCTGCCATCTGCACACACATTAATTTCCCCCCAGATCTTCGGAAGTTCATAAACTCCATTTTTAGGATCTGTGTTCTTGGGAACATACAGCAGTTAGGTACACTGGGGCACGATTCCACACACAACAAAGCAGTGATAACTGAGACTGCAAACTGGGTGAGCAAATACCCTATCAGTGCATAGCAGGGGTATTTGCAGCAGGATTGCTCTGCTGTTCCCCCTGTGAGGGAAAAGGCTGTGCTAAAACCACAATGTTGTCCCCAAAGCCTCTCTCCTCACAGCACCTCTTTCGTGCCATTTTACTGACACCGAGTCTAAAATAAACATATCAAAACACTAATGCCCTAGAGTAGAAGAATTTGGAAGCAATTAAGAAGCTCAGATTCAAAGATTAAAACGTTTCAGCCCAAATTTGCCCTCCCCTTTCTGCTGTCTGAGTGCAAAGCCCATAATCCCACCGAGGCACAGCTGCGTGCTGCTGCAGCAATAAGGGATGGCGACAGCAGCACATGGCTGCTCCGAGCCAGCTCTATTGGGGTGAGATTTCATCCTGAGCGCTCACTGCAGGTGCTGTGCATGGCTGCGGGCATCTCACAGACCCCACTGCCATCATTGCTCATTCACCTGTTATCTGAACACTGCCCTTCGAGCACCAATTCCTTTTGGAGCTTCCTAACAGCCTGAGAGCTTCTAGCACCCTTTGCACCCAGACCTTTGTAACCGAACCACTACCACATTTGCTCTCAAAATGCAATTGCCCTTCCAAGACTATACAGAAAAGGAAAAGAAGTAACCTTCAGCCCAACATTCACAGAGCAAACCCTAGTTATTAGCAGGAGCTGGAGCACAGCAGCAGCTGCACTGAGCAGTGCACACTCCCTGGGCACATCCCTGCTGGAGCTGGAGCTTTCCTCTCACCTGCCAAGGACTTGTAACCAAGAAACCTGGCAATCTTTTGCTGGCAGTGCTCCTGCTCTTCGTACGTCAGCAGCTGGTAGATAAACTGCCAAATGACTTGCTTGGCTGGTGTGTCCAGCACCGGGTACACATCCACAATAAGAGTGTCAATGTTCCTGCAAAATGGGAGAGAGAGGGCTGGGCAGTGAGTGCATTCTGAGCTGCACAGCCCCAGCACACAGCTTTGCACCTCCCGATCTGCCTGCAGCTCAGCTGCTGGGATTGCCTCATCATTGGTACGAGCTGCCCAGGTCATCTACGAGCAGAGTTGTGGGCAAGGAACAGATCCTGGTGGGAGAGATGTGGGGGACTGGGGATGTGCAAGTGGGACTGATAGGGACAGCAATCTGCAGGGCCTGGCAGCACCTGGCAGCCAGACCATAAAGCCTGCTATGGGAGGCTGTGTGTGTATGGGGCAGCATGGATGGGTTGTGTGGTTGGATAGGTGGGTGGATAGATGGATGGACGAACGGATGGATGGATGGGTAAGTGGATGAGCACCAGGACATAGAGGTGCTCTGGTAAGGCCTGAAGTGTGGGCAGCTGGGATGAGGGCTGTGTCCTATGCTGTGTGGTGTGAAGGTGGTACAGGGTCTGCTCAGGATAATGGGGCTGAGTGCCCGAAGTGGTGAGGACGGTGAAACACCCAGGGAAAGAAGGCAGTCCCAGAGGGACTGGTCTCTAAGAGGTGGGTCTCAGCTGAGCAAGGCTGGGTCACAGATAAGGTCAGGATGTTTTTCTACTGAGAAACTCACACAGAAAACAGTGGTTAATGTTCACTGCAACTATTGCAGCCTTAATGTAGAAGCAATCGCAAGAACTCCACATAGAAAACTTTGTATTTAGGACTTTGTATGTAGGAACAAATCTGTTGTCTTGATATTAATCACTGAACTCCCTCAGGTGTGTGAGGGAGAGCGGAAAGATGACAGTGATTATCTGCTAAGCTGTTCTCTATATGTGGGTATTCTGCCTTTTCTGTGATGCCAGACAAGGCACCACCATCCTGACTCCCTTCTGTGTTCACTGCTGGGCAGTGCTGCTATTTGCAAGCAGCAGAAATGTCATGTAGAGGATTTCACCTGCCCTTACCAGGGCAGGTACAGGTCACAGCTGGGACAGGCTGATGGATTAGGTGATGGACTGGGGCAGCTACAGGCAAGATGATTTTGTCTAAGGCTGAGCAATTTGTTTTGAGTGTTCAGATTCCATCCAGGTTCTTCCAAGCACAAAACCCCCTGGACTTATCTCCCACTGCAGGTCCCAGAGGCTGCAACCATGCAGAGGGAATCCTGCAGGAGCAGAGCTGTCTCAGGGGATTCTAAGCAATGATTTCTGCTTTATCGTCTCAGTGTGCTGACTGCTGGTCCCCAGTGGATTCATTCAGCTGGCGCTGGGGGATTCCAGCAGCTCAAGTCAGCACCTGCAGCTCTGGGTGCGACTCTGGTCACATCAGGTTGGTGCAGCCCCAGCAATGCTCCTTGGGAGCTTATCGCTGCCAGTGACCTAGATACAGAGGGGCTTGTTGCATTTCATTGCAAAACAGGATTGAGATCCTTATCTGTCTGTATGGAAACAGAGTGCTACATGAAAGCATCAGGACCTGCCTGGCTCTGAGCAGCGCATCCCCAGAGCAGGTGCTGAGCTGTGGGAAGGGGCAGTGAATATCTCCCAGTGCCCTGAGAGGTGGTACGTCCCTGCTGGAAGGCTGAAGATGAAGGGCAGAGAGCAGGTTGCTATGACACATCCTGAGGCTGGGTTTCAGCTGGGTACAGCTGTGGGATGAGGACTCTGCAGCTGTTCTGCTGCCGAGAAATGCTGAGAAGAGCAAGGAGTTGGGAATGAAGCCCGGTGAGATCAGAGAGGTGGAACAGAACCTACGGCCATTGTGGGGACTGCCAGGCAGCAAGAGAGCCAGTGCTGCAGGGGATGAGGTCACCGTATGGCAGGGGCACCAGAGGTGACCGTGCTGCCCTGTCCGCGGGCAGGACACCCAGTGAGAGATGGGTTCCTGCTCAGCTCTTACCCTGAGAAAAATGCACAGCTGGAGAGAGCAGACAGCTGAGCCTGGCTCTGAGCCTGCAGGCTGAGGGCTGTGCTGCTGCAGGACTGTCCCTGCTGTGGCCATCAGAACTGGCGCTAAGGGAATGGCACCGCTAAGAAGTTACCGATGTTGGAAGAAGCTCTCCAGTGCTTTGCAGATGGTACAGCGCTCAGGTGGGGTGAGCAGGTGCTCCAGCTGCTGGTTGAAGGTCCTCCCTTGAATCTTGATGCTAGAGGGGAGGATCTCTGCCACCCACTGCAGGGAGGTGAGCGCAGAGGAGCTGGTCGGGGAGTCGGCAGAGTCAGAGTCTGCAAGGCGCAGGCAGAGAGAAAAGAGAATTGAACAGGCAGAGGGGCTGGCTGAGTTCATAGCCCATCCTCTGGACAGGGCAGGAGGACACTGGGGCAGCTGTGTGCCCCCGGGAGCCTGAAAACCAAGCAGATGGCAGAGCCGTGACCTGCATACGGGGGTCCTGCACTGCCCTGCCTGCACTGAGCTGCCTGAGAGCATGGCATGCAGTCTGCTTGGCCTTGTCGGGGTCTCTTGGGCCAATACCTGTGTTCCCAACCCCTGCCTGAAGCCCAGACTGCTCACATCTGCTGCACCTCTGTTGGGCAGCTGAAATCCCTCTGAGGCGGGAAAGCTTAAAGCACAGGCACCTCAGCTCCACTGAAACACAAGTCATGTTGTTCTGGTGCAGGGGTGGTTACCCCAGGAAAAAAAAAAAGACAGATTTTGGCCTCTGGGAAGCAGCGTGATGACAGGAATGGTACTGACACAGGGCCACACTCTGTCACCCTGCCTTGGCTTCTTTCATGGGGCTTTGAGTGCCACTGCTGTGCACTGATGAGCACTGAGGCTCCTGCTGTTGTTTCTAGGGCACATGCAAAGCAGTGGATAGCACAGGGCTCGAGGAAGCCCTCACCGCACCAGAAGGACAATCCAGTCACCAGTTCCCAGCCCTATGCATCACACAACAGCACCACCACAACACACTGCCCCTCTCCCTGCACTGGGAATGCAGCACTGTAAGTTCTGCAGGACCATATTCCTGCACCTCACTGCAATCACTGACACAACGCACCGCCTGCTCCCTCCAGCTCGCTCCCAGCAGCAAGCTGAATTATTCATGTCAGCAGTTCTGCACAGCACAGTCCACACACAGCCGTGATAGCTGCACAGCGACTATGGATGCACTGGGTTGGATTACTCCAGTCAAGTACACAGCACAGACTGCATATGAAGGACACTGGAAAGGGCTGTCAAGGACGATCACACAGTGCAATGAGCTGCTGGGCAGCAGCCAAGCCCAGGATTCAGCCTGGCCACAGAAAGCCAAGGAGCAGCTCTGCAGGTAGTGGGGAGCAGCGTCCAGTACCTTCAGTGCCTTGAGCCCACGGGCATTGGCAGCTCCTGATGCACACAGGGAGTTTAGGAACTCCTGAATCTGGGGTTCCTGACCCTCAGGGCACCCCTTCTGCAGCACACTTACCGCTGGAGAAATTGACGATGCCCTCTTCAACCACCAAGGTAGGCATCGCCCCGCTGCCCTGCAGCATCGACACCACCTTGTCATGAGAGCAGTTCCTGCAGGGCACAGACAGCTGGGTCAGGGCCACCCCATTCCTTGCAGACAGACAGCCCTACCATGCCCCGGCTGCAGCTCCCTGGCTCTCCTCTTGCTGGATCTCAGCTGAGATCACGGTGCATCACCGCAGCCACAGTGAGCAACGGGCATGGAGTGTGCATCCACAGTGAGCAATGGGTGTGGGGTGTGCATCTACAGCCCCAGCAGGTGAACTTCACATGTAGGCCAGAGCACTGGGGGACTCTGCCTGTCCTAACTCTGCATGGAGAGGATGTGAAGTGGATGATAAATACATCCCTGGGAAGGGCACCGGTTGACCTGGGGCACTGCCACTGCAATGTGGGCTCAGAGAACAGCCTCTAGGTGGGTATGCTCTGCTCTGGAGCTGCTGCATCAGCCAACAGTTTGCTGGATCAGCTGAAATGTGAGAGCCTGAGCACTGCCAGCAGCAGCATCAGATGTTTAACCTTTAAATATTCATCACTCTCTCTTATCTTGTAGTCCATCCTAACCCTTTGCTCTTGCTTTTCCTTGCAGAAAGCCCAACCTGGTGAAATAAAGGCTGCTGCCACAGCACCAGTGATGTAAAAGGACAAGCAAGGCCGGGCTGAAATATTCCAATGATACTCAGTTTTCATGAAAGAATATTACAGGAGGTGTCTATGTGGGGTGACATCCCTCACATCCCACAGCAGATAGCTCTGAAGGATGCTCATCTCTGGCTTCTATTCTATGAGGGTTAGTAATGAAGACCGCTGCGCCCCCTCCCACAGCAGCACACTCCTTCCAGGAGCCACTTACCTCATGTCCAGGCCGTTAAGAAATAGGATTCGGTCTCCAGGTTTGAGTGCAGCCTTCTCAGCCGGACTCCCTGCAGGCAGAGGGAAGGAGTGGGGCTGCAGCTGCTGCCCCTGGGCTGGGGTCTGTCCCATCCCTTCCATGCCTTCTGTGCCCCAGAGCAGGGACCCTGCAGCCTTGTAAAGCTCCTTGGCTATTCTAGCAAGCAACATACACTTAGCACTTCTGTTTCACACCATAGATAGCTGGGTTGGTCTGAGCCTGGTGGCCAGCAGGATTCTTACCTGGCAGAACGGACTCGATCCACACTGGTGCATGTCCACGCAGCGTGAAGCCAAAGCTTTTGTTGCCTTTATAAACTCGCACCGTCCTGCAGGTAGAAAAACAAACAAATGTGACATCAGAACACAAAAAAAGTTGGGCTTTTGTTTCCTTCCCCAGCCCCACTGGAGCCCCTCTGTCTGGGTACCTCCTGCGCTGCTCACCGAGTCCCTTTGATGCTTTCCAAAGGGACACCCCTTGCTAACCTCTGGGACGAGGACAGCATGCTGCCACTGTGGCCACTGAGCACAGGGTCTCTGCTGGAGCCTTTAGATCCAGTTACGGCTTTTGCAAGCTAAAGCTGAATGTACATTAACACGAAGGTTGCAGCACAGGGGAAGTGGGGATGCTGGAGATGGGAGCTGAAGGAACAGAGCCTGTGAGCATTGATTGATACTCTATTAATTACTGCACTCATAAAAACACAGCCCAGGGCTCCAAATCAAATGTGTTTTTAAAGTGAAGCACAGGCTATAATACATTACATAGAATAAGAGAGACTGGGGGACAAAGAGCCCAAAGACTGATGAGAAAAAAGTGAAATCCAGTGAGGAAATGTTGGAAAGAGCATCAGGAAGAGATGAGAGCTTCCTGGGGAAAGTGACAGCACCGAGACCATTCACAACCAGGAAACCACTATAGAGACCAGTTTTACACTGGCAGGGAGAAAAATGTGTTGGAACTGAATTTTGGAAAAGTCATAGCAACAAATTTTCCTCACAGGGAGGTGTGCTGCGGCCAAACACCCTGAGGGTAACAGATGGAGGCAGGGGAATGATTCGGAGCAACCACAATGGCACAGGGCCTCCCCAGGAGGGGAGCCCTGCCCCCCAGCAGACCCCGTCCTGCTCTGCTTGTCTGTGAGATGGGGCTGGGAGCACAGCGGCAGTCAGCGCCAGCACAGCAGGGCAGCTCCATGCTATGAGCTGCAAGGGTCTGGCCATCTGGGCAGCGGGAAGTGGGTTAATCCCCTGTGCAGCCATGTCCTGCCTTCCTCCTGCTGCTGCTGCCTGGCACCCAGACACCGCTGGGGCAGGGCAGGGAGACATGCACAGCCTGCTGTGCGCTTGGCAGTGCGGGCCATCGGAGCGGCCAAGCATCCCGCACCCCAGCTGACATGCCCAGGCATCCTGCAACCCACCCAGCATGCCACCATCCCTTCAAGCCTCTGAGTGCCATCTCACCTCCACACACACCTTTGCAACAGCAAGGGGACAGAATAGGTGACCTAGATCTGGGACACGGAGTGCAAACTTGCCCACCCTTCAAGCAAGAAGGGTCTGTGCTCAGCCTCATCCCAGGAGGATTTCACCCATCCTGTGCACAGAAGACATCCCCATTCCCAGCATCTCCCCCATGCTGCCATCCACACCAAACACACCCAGGCAGCACCCAGGAGCCGTTCTACCTGCGCGCAGCCCCTGAGGCCACATTGCTGGTGATGAGCGAGGTGGTTTTCCGCAGGCTCTTGCTGAGCTCCTCGTGGCTGCGGGGCACAGAGCTGGCACGGGTGGACACGAGCAGCCTCTCCTGGTGGTCCTCGCTCCGGCTGCGCCGCAGGCGGTTGCTGTGCTGTTCACTCTTGGAGCGGCACAGCTTGCTGATCAGGCTTTGTGACACCACCTCATCGAAGCGCTGCCGGTGTTTTTTGGGGATGAAAATCCTGGAAAAGGGACAAGGAGAGCAGAGAGTGAGGATGGGACTGAGGGGGTGATGGCACAGAGCTCTGCATCCAGCAGTGCCCGGAAAAGGAGGACTCCAGTCCCTTGTGTGCCCACAGCCTCAGCACTGCCTGTGAGGACCAGGAACACGGGATGCCAAGGATACAAGGGGACACCATGGATGCTGGCTGCATCTCCTGCCCTGTCCCATGCACAGCTCCTTGGGGTGAGAAGGTCGGAGCTCTCTGCAGCACAGCATTATGCAGAGACCAATCGCAACAGCTCCATTCCTCCTTGATGCCCCATCCCAGACCCTATTAGCTGCTAGTCCTGCTGGGCCAATGGCAAGGTGCAGCTCAAGCCTTGCATCAATTGTTTTTCACCCGATTATGGCCCAGCAGCCAGCTCTACAGAGAAGACCTCTCTCTGCCTTCATCCCTGTTACAGGTGCTCCAAGGACCCTGGCAGACTCACACACTGCAGGACCCCAGTGAGGTGCTTATTGTCCCCGCATGGCCCTCCCTGCCCACGTCCCCCCTGCCCATCCCTGCAGCTCTTGTCTGGGGTGTCACACACCTCCCGCACTGCAACACATGGAGATGCCTTTCCTTCCTCTCTTTTTTCCTTTTCCCATCACAGCTGTGAAACACTGACACCCCATTCATCTCCTCCCACCTTTTCCATTTGCACATTTAGGGGCTTCTGGAGGAGATGTTATCTCACGATGTTTCTATAGCAACTCTAACTGTTGCACCCAAACTGCATCTCACTGCTGCAGCTGTGCCTGCTCCATATGCAGCACCGCTGGCACCTCTCTTTACTGCACACACCTCATCTCATGGACATGCTCTCTACATTAGCAGGGAGCAGGGATGTGGTGTCACCACCCTGCACCTCAGGACTGCATGTTATGGAGTGGCATTGATTCACAGCAGGATGCAGACAGCATCTGAAAAGATCTGGGCTGAGGGTATTGGGGGGTCCTCAACCCTGGGGCATCTTCTCTAAAAGAATCTGAAAGCAAGGATGGAGCTGGAGGAGAAGCACAGATCCCAAACCTCTGAGACTAGGACACAGCTGTTTGCACCCAGGGAAAGGCTGAGCCCAATGGAGCAGCCTGTGCCCTCCTGCTGGGCCGGAGCAGGCAGAGCTCACCTGGTCCCAAGGCCGACAGATGTTCACACATAGTGCCAGGTGATAATTTAAAATTAGTGAACACACCAGCACGATTCACAGCCAATCTGTGATGAGGCAACAATGAGAAATGCAGTGAGAAATGAGTGCAATGCTGCTAATAAGCAGCTCCCCAGCAGCAGGCAGGCAGCAGGGGCTGGGGCCAGGCTGAGCCCCACTTCCCTCCCAAGGGCAGAGATGCTCTGCTCTCATTTCAGCTGGATGAATGAGATCGGTCCCACAGCTTCCCACAGGGCTGCCCCACTTTGCCAGGGTGGTTCCTTTGCCTGTGGGCTGGCAGAAAGGAGAACAGAGCAGCAACACAGCACGAGCTCAAAGCAGGCCCAGAGACTCCTTTTTTTATGGACTGACTCAGTGCTAGCAGTGAAACTTGGTGCTACCAGGGAGAGGAGCTTAATAATAGTGATAATAATCCTAATAAGTGCACAAAAGATTTTCTTCTTCCAAAACCCTTTGCAGAGCATCCTTAGGATGGGCACAGCACTTCTCAGAGACCTGCAGGGAGGTATTTTAGAGCTTCAATGGCATGCAATGTGGTGAGCACTCAGATCTGTCCTTAACAAGTGACCCACCATCCAGGCAGCACATGGGTGGCGTTGGCTGATGTGACACCAGCACTGATCTGCCTTCCTCCCTCTCTTCCTCCTGTGCTCTGTCAGCACTGCCCACATTTCCTGTTGGAGTGCAGTGGCTGAGGTGCCCCCAGCCCTGGGCATGGTGACTGCCAGCACCCAGCCCTGCAGGGCACTGCCAGCCCTTCTCTGTCATACCAGGACACCTTCATCAGAACTAAGTCTGAATCAATACAAATTGAGGGCATTTTCCAGGCCAGGAGATGTCCCCAAGGGCCATGTGCTCCCACAAGGCCAGGAAACGCGGCCGGCAGAGCCTGCCCCGCCTGTCCCCAGCTGCTCTGATGCTCACTTGGGTACAGCGTGCTTGGCACAGCTCAGCCTTTGTCCGTCTCATTCTTTAAAACCCACAGAGAGCTCATTTGCAGCTTATTTCCTAATGGATATTCCCACTGCACCTGTGAGGGACTCCCTCCTGCCCCGCAGCCCAGCACCCACCCCACAACCCAGGCGGTGCCTCCCAGGAGCTGTGGTGGGTGCTGAGCCCTGTGCCACGCTCTGCAGTACGCACAGCTCAGTGCCCTCACCACAGGCACCGTCCGGTTACAACACCCAGCCACAAGCTCGCAGAGTACAACCCCACAGCACCCCAACCCATCTGTGCATTGCGTGCACAGAGCCAAAGTAGACCCTGATGTGCAATTCCCAGCCCCCGGCCCCAGCGTTCCTTTAAGCTTCGCCCCACGTTCCCTGGCTCCTCGCGCCCCTGGCAGCGGGGTCCCCTCGCACGGCCGTGCATCGTGGGGACACCGCAGGAGCACAAGCCCCACACCGTGCACCAACCCTCAGTCACAGCACGGAGTGCAGACGTACCGAAAATGCCGAGAGAAGCTCCGGTCCTTCCCCATTTGTCCAAGGTGCAGCGGGAACAAAAGGAGACGCTTCAGCTCCGCATGCAGCTGAGGCTCAGCCCCGGCTCACGCCCACGACGCCGGCTCCAGCCCCGCACGGTGCCAGCGGGCACTGCCCTGGCACCCGCCGTGCACGCAGAGAGCGGACAGATGGGCACAGCCCTGTGCCTGCTTCTCGCCCCGCACTGTGCCCAAAGCTGGTTTCACTCTGCCTTCTCCCCAGTGCCAGTGCTGCCCCAAAACTCGGCTCTGAAGCCTTTTTGCTTTCCCTAACCCTGCAGTATGTGTGATTTCTAGCTGGATCTCTCTGGGAAGGACGCTGCACAGAAAGGAGGGCACGGCTTCGCGCCGAACTCCGGAGGGATGCCTCGCTGGTGCTAATTAGTTGACTTCTAAGTGCTTCTGTTTAAATTACATGCTGCCGTAATGGGTGAGAAACCTTAAAGGCAAGCAGTGATTGCGCGGGTTCAGAGCTGCTTGCACACTGCACCCACTGGACCCATCCCTGCAGGCATGGGCCTAGCAGCAGCACCAGGACCCGAACCTCAGCTCTCCTGCACATGTAGAGCACTGTGGAGCACTGCTTCTCCCTGGGGTGCCACAGCCACTCTTGGAAGCAAGGATAGAAGATAAAATCCTCTATTTTAAATGCCACCGTCTTGAAACACAGCATTTGATACAGAGGATGTGAGGCTTTTGGAGCTAAAGAAGCGAGAGAATCTCCAGGCAGCAAAGGAGAAAAAAATGAAAAATGTATGGCTTTGCCTCAAAACAGCTATCAAAGAGCAGACCTTGACTGAATCCCTAGTGCAGAAAGCACATCCCAGGGAGGATGAAAACACTGAGCAACACTGGGATTATGTCTGAACTGTGCCGCACCAATGGCTCGCAGGCCAGAAAACACCTCTGCCCCGAGAGCAAGCTGCAGTGCCCAATGTTACATGGTTCTGAGACAGAAAACTTCACCCATCCAACAGGAGTTATGGCATCGCACAGATCTCAGAGCTCGCCTACTTCTCCCCCCCATCCTCCACATCTCTCCCCCAATATCTCCATAGTGCTCAGTGCTGTGACACCAGGACAGCCGGGTCACCCTGCACCCTGCAGCACACACGCAGCTGAGGGATGGCCGTGGCTGCCCCCAAGCACAGAGCGGTGCATTCCCACCATGGATTTTCTGTGCACACAGGGCTGTCTCCCCGTCCCCGCAGCCAATGGTCGATAATCGCTCATCGGGCCGCAGATGTGCCGCAGATGTGCCCGCAGAGTCATTAGAGGGAATGGGGCTCTTCCTCACCACAGAGCCTCACAGCCCCTCCCAGCCGGGTCCCACCCCGGGGAACTGCTGATGGCTGCTGTGTACTTCGGTGTAGGAACAGCAGAAACCATTTTCTGTGATCTGTTTGAGATCCCGAGCGCACCTCAGGTCACAGAGCTGCTTTACAAAACTGAAGTTGCACATCGGTGGTGGTGTGAATGCAGGCAATGCATTACAGCAGCAGCTTGATTTGTCAAACCAAATTAGTTCCTTAACAGGAGATTTTGCACCACGACCTTTTGGCCCATTTGCACTTGACTGCAACCAACAGAACTTCCCTCCCAACTGGTGCCCCACTGGTGGCACATTTTCTCCCTAACTCCTGTTTGTGCCATAGGACACGTGTCCAGCTATCAGAATAGGGATTTTTTTAAATGGAAGCAGATGAGAGCCACCTCCTCTCCTTCAATCACCTCCTGCTGCCCACTTTGTGGCAGTTCTACCCTGCAGAGCAGCACAGCACTGCTGCACCATGCACCAGTGGTGCCCCAGCCCCAACCAGAGCACGAGCTGTCCGTGAGGGCATGCAGTCTTGGGGAAGGGGGCAGGCATGGCAGCAGCACGGTGCGTCCTGTATAAAACCCTGATGGATAAAATGAAATTTCTCATCCAGAGGTGGCCACAGATGGCCTCAGCATTTTAATATGGGGAGAAGCCGAGTGATGTTATTGCTGTGAAAAACAAGCTGGGACAAATAGATTGTCTTGGGAGTGTTATTAAAATGAGCTCAGTGGAATTTCTCTGAGATGAGAGAATCCCCAGCAGGCAGCAGTGTTGTCTGCACTGGGGATCAAAGGGGCTGCAGGCAGAACTGCAGCACCAAGAGTGACACTGGGGCTGCCTGGTGCCCCTCAGCAGGGGCTGGGAAGGAACAAACTGCATTCACTGTGCTCTCCTTGCAACAAAGCACAGCAGAAGGACTTACAGGAGCCCCATGGCATGCAGCAGCCTGAAAACCCGATGGGTTCTTGCACATGGGGTGTGCACCAGCATATGGGTACGTCCTGCTAATCGCATCCAGGTTAATGGGACAGTGCCTGTGCGCAGGGCATCGGAGCTGGAGTGGCATGCACAACTTTTAGAACACTGAAGGTCAATGGGGGGAATGGAGATCTGTGCTCAGAGCTCCACAGTTCTGTTGTCCATCTGTTTGAAACATGTTTCAAACCTCAGTGCCACTGCTGTGAGCTGAAACAACACTGACATGGATACTGGGACACTGCTGGTGTGGGAGGAAAGGCACAGGGCACAGCAGACAGCAAGGGGAACACGGTGCTCAGTGAGCTCCTAACCTCTGAAATGCAGCAAGGATCCTGTCTGCATCACTTGTCTTTGTGTCAACAACCCTGGCACTGCAAGGTGCCCAGAGCAGAGTCAAAGCAATTCCCTGCCTGAACCACAGCTCTGCCTGGGCTGGAGACATCCCAGGAAGAAGAGCTGAACCCCAGGACCCACAGCTGCCCCCTACATCCCACGTGGGGCAGATATGAGGAGAAGAAGAATGAACCCCTGGGTCACAGCTGGGCTCTGGTGCCCGCAGGTGACAGAGGGGCACAAAGTGAGAAGAGATCTCCCTCTCCCCCACCCCACAGAGCCTCTGGCATTGGCAGCTCTGATGCACTACGGCTGCTAAGAGTTGATTAACTTTTCACATATCTCTTTTTTGCAGTGCTAGATCCTGGAATTAAGCAGCTTTCCAACCGTTCCCCTCCCGGCCCCCTAGGATCCCGGGAAGGGTCCGTTGTTACTCACCCGAGGCAGCTCATCTTCCCCCCGCGCCGCTGGTGTTCATCATTCCTGAGCAGAACTACAATTGTGCACTTTTACTACAGCCACCAACCATATGGGCAGGGGATCTGCGCACAGGGAGGACCCGGCGCAGCACGTGCATTATCCCTGCTATCCACAACCCAACGGATGAAGAAAATGTCAGCAAATTAAAATCTGCGGGAGCTTAATTCTGGGCAAATGGGATGAAATCCATTTGAGCTGAAGAGGGAAAAAAAAAAAAAAAGCAACTCGAAAAAGCACAGCCTGAGGACAGCAGGAGGAGGAGCGCTGTTTGCAGCCCCAAGTCCCAGCGTTGTGCTGAGCCTGGGGGTCTTGGGTTACACTGCACAGCAGCACGGAGCTGGGCAGGGGGATGCGTGGGGAAGGAGCAGAGTGGCAGCCAGGTCCCAGAATAAACACGGTGCTGCAGGAGAGATCCAATCAGACCAGCACTAGGTATGTGCTTGCTGCTTAGCTCTGCACGGCCACACAGTCATCCCCCGTGGGTCACTGTCACTGTTGCCACCCTGCACACTGATGCAGGGCTCAGCCGGTCTGCTGGAACACAGAGCTGATGGCATGGGGAGCACTGGGAACCCCCAGCATCCCTCACATCACCCCCCAACATCTTCCCTTCCTGCCCATGAACACTGCTCTCACCTGCCCCATGCTATGGAAAGGGTTGGTCTCACTGTTTCCCCACCTGCTTTGTAGGGCTGTGGGCACCGGGGGGGTTGCACAGCCATGGGGGTCTGGGGCACCTCTGCCATGGGGCTGAGCCCTGAGCCCTGTGGAAATAACCCAAATACGTTCTCAGCATCCTACACATCCAGAACACACAGGAGCTTCTCAGCACCTTGGAGTGAGTTATTAAAAGCACTAAAAGCTCTTGCTCAGCAGCAAACCTGCTTGATGCTGGACTCCGGGGTAAGCAGCTCATGTTCTGCACAAACAGCAAACACAGAGCTGCATGCAGCTCCCACCAATACATCCTCAGCTGGGAAACATTTTTTCCAAAGCAACGTTTTTTCCCTTCAATTCATTTCATCAAGATTAGACGGTAAATCTTTCCCCTAAGCTAAATATTTCATTTTCATTAAACTGAGATGAGCTGCCCGATTCGCCATGCATCCTGCCCCAGCCCCACTGCCAACCTCACACACGGCACGGGGGGAAAAGCACCTCGGGATGGGGACAGCAGACCACTGCTGGGATGGGGATGCCCCAGGGAAAGCGTGCCCATGGCAGAGGGGCTTGGGTCTGGAGGGCAATGGAAAAACTTCCTGCAGTCCCCTCTGTGGGGAAAATAAAAAGCCGTAAAATTCTCCAGGTGGTGGTTCCTGGTGCCCCTCTGAGGGTACCTCAGTGGGGTCTGATCTGGAGGTGCCAGGTGTTCCTGGTTTCAGAGGCACTCACCCTCCCACTTCAGGACCTCAGGAGCATGGCAGTTACCCTGGCACAGGGATGTTGTTATGGTAACGGTAATATCTCGCAATTCCACTGATTAAAGCAGGAATTGGAAAGCCAGGCCCAGAGCGGGGCCAGATGGAGACCTGATTCCCTAATGGCCACTGTCTCAGCCTGGCTGTAATCCCTGCCACGTGCCCGCGTGCTGTCCCTGACCCTGTCCCCATCCTTGGACACAACGAGATCAGCACAGCAGTGCAGTTGCATGCTCAGGTCCCCATAACACAGACACTCTGCCAAGGCACAAGAGGTGCTGTAGACCATAGGGACCCCCAGCAGAGCAGTACCATGGCAGCCCAGGATGTGGGAGCTGGCCCCCAGCCCTGCACAGAGCCCCCTGCCCCCACAGCCCTGCCAGGCAGGCTGATAGCATGGGTGACGTCAGCCAGGCAGTACCTGATGCTGTCGATGAGGTGCTGGTGGGACTCCTGGGTGAGCAGCATGCACAGGGCACAGGCCAAGCACTCCACCCTCCGCTCAGCTGCGTACTGCTTCAGCGCGGCGAACACCTGCTCCTTGAGCTCGGGATGGTCCCCCAGGATGGCATCCACCTGCAGCACAGAACAAAGGGGCACTGAGAGGGGACAAGTGTGAGTACAGGGCACAGATCAGATCTGACTAGGGGCAGCATCCAGATAATCAATGGGAAGGGAAGCAGTGTGGCAAGGAAAGTGAAACTTTCGTCATTTGGCATCTCATGCCTATCCCCAATCCCATTGCACTGCATGCCATAAGCACTGCACAAGGGACACTAACATGATAAGCCCACAGGGCCACCAGGGCCACCTGGGAGGTGGCCACAGGAACCATCCCCCTGCCATGGATTCTGGGTGCCACCACGTGCTGTACATTTCAAGGTTACTGAATCTGGGACAGAACAGCAGCTGCTCCCTGTGGATGGCTCTACAAACTTTTCTGTCTCAAGGTCCAGTGCAGTGAGGACGAGGAATGTGGTGTTTCAATGAGCTTAGTGCTGGGCCAGTTCTGTTATGTTTTCTCCCAGGCTGAGGTGCTGTGCCCAGTGTGCAGGGGACAGAGGGCAACACTGACCTCAACTGAGACCCCGAGCAACTTTTGGTGATTGCCACACACAATGCTCAGCAGGAGCAGCCCAGCGCCAGCCCTACAAACACCACCTGGGCACTGTTACAACAGAAGCAGTCAGCAGGCAGTGGATCAGCACACAGGGCAGTGCCTGCAAACCCACAGCTCCGTGTCTATCTGTGAGGCTGTAATTGGAATGCTGACCAAGGGGGTCTGGCCCAAGGATCTCTTTAGGAATGCTTTGTTCCTGTATTAGCTTGGGATCAAAAAACACACAAGCCTGGTTATTTTCATAACAGCATTTTAAAAGGCTGCTTTGAAATGGAAATTAGAAAGATTAAAAAAAACAACTGCTATCAAATTCATAATTAGCGCAGGGTGATGTTTGGTAAATTACCCACTAGGCAGCATTCAGGAGCACAATGAAGATGTCACTGCAGCACTGTTTCTCCCTTTTCACATAGTAGGACTGCACGGGGATGCTCAGGCAGAAGGAGGGCACTCAGGAAGTGTTGATGTGGTCCCATAGAACAAAAAGAATGAGCACTCTCCAAACCCAAAGCTCTTCATAGCACCCATTTATTCTCTCAGCAGTCATTGCAAGATGGGACCCTTCTCTCTGGCACTGACGACAGTAGAAGTCTTTTCCAACCCAAATATCCCTACAATTCCATGAATCCACCCCCTTCAGCCTGCCCTGGGTGTCCTCGTGTGGGTGTGCCAGAGACGGGATGTGAGGAGCGTGGTGCTGAGCTCCACCTGGGTGCCCCCCTCACACCCCATCTTTACCTTTTTGCTGAACTCCTGCGCTTTCTGCTTCCTCTCCATGCGCACAGCAGCAGCGCTGGGGCCGAGGTCCCTCTGCGGCCGCAGCAGCCCCAGTCGCAGCGCTCGCCTACTGCAGGATGCCAGCAGCTCGGCCGCCGCCTCGGCACTGCGCACAGCCACGCCGTCCACCTCCAGCAGCAGGTCCCCAGGAGCGATGCCGCAGGTGGCAGCAGGAGAGCCAGGGGCCACACTGGCCACGCGAGGGGGGCTGCCGCCCACCAGCTGCAAGCCCAGGTGTGGGGTCGGGGGCAGGTCGGCACGCTGCAGCCTGGACAGCACGCCGATGCTGGGGGGCACGGAGCTGCAGCGCCGGGCTAATGCCAGCAACGCCGGGCAGCCCAGTGAGGCGACGGGCTGCCCCTCCAGCTCCAGCACCTCGTCACCCGGGCGCAGCCCTGCCGCTGCTGCACTGCTGCCCTCCTGCACCCATAGCACGTAGCAGGGCCCGCTGCCACCCAAAGAGAAGCCAAACGCCTCTGGCCAGCCTTGGTTGGTTGTCGGCATGGCTGCAACTGCAAGACACAAAGGGAGGCGGTGGTGTGGGAGCGTTCTGTTCAGAGTGGTGCTTTCTGCTGGAGATGCCGCATTGGGTGTGCCATGACACTGCACCCTGGGGCACAAAAATGCTTCAGGAGAGGAAATTTTCTTTTGTATTTCCCCCGAAATGGTTCTTATTCTCCCACAGTTAGCAGTGAGGATGTGGCATGCACCCAGCCCAGGGAGTGGAGCAGGGCACCTGCTGTATGTGTCCATAGAGGTCATTACTTCATTCACACTGTGCTGGTGAACTGACATGCAGTGGCTCTTTTCAATACTCAGTGCTGCAAACCCTATTTCTAGCAGCATCTGCCAGACCCTCTCAGCCCCCTGAAGCATCTTTTCCTGCCCAGAAAGTGAAGGCCAATGTGTCCCTGTGCTAACCTGGCTACAGTACCCTGAAACACAAATAATGATTTCCAAATTCTGATTTTGTAGTTAGTTTCAGTATTAGGATCCACTTGGTGAATGCAGTGGGGAAGAGAGCTCAGTGTGCAGCAGCCCCAAACCTCTGCAGAACGTTCTGCCCCAGATGGAATCAGCACAGCCAGTGTCTTCCCAGGCCACTCAGGTTCTGCTGCAGTGCACACGCATTTGCTGTCTGCTGACACTCGCTCAATTAATTTGCATGCGGAGCTTCACTTCATTTGATCTCAGCCGCCTGAAGATGCTTTTTATTCCCATGTTTATTCCATCCATGTTACTTAACTCACATTAAGCGTTTACAAAAATGAAACAGACTATTTTATCTGGGCAAATTATCTTAGGGGAACTCTGAAGACTGAATCACTCTGAAGCATCATTGGGAATGTATTCTGAGTTTCTTGCTCTGCAGATTGGAAGGACACAGCAGGTGCCATCCTCATCAGGAAGTGCTAAAAAGGACTAAATGCTCTGTGGAAACCAGCGCTAAAGATAATAACCATGCCCTCCTCCACACAGTGCTGACTACATTACAGCAGGGCTGATGGCCATGGTCACATCATCCTTCCACCTCCATATCCTACTGCTACAGCACTTACAGAATTCCTCTCCAGTCAGTCCGACAGGGCAGGTCTGTCCCACCACGAGGTCCTGATGTTCCCGGCTGTCCTCCATCACCTGTGCTGCTGTGACAAGGCCAAGCGAGGTCCCTGCCGGCTGCTCTGTGTCCCCATATACTCACGGTACAGCTGAGCCCTCCCAGGTGCTCCAGGTCGAGGCCGGGCACCCAGCAATGCTTTCTTTGCCTTTATTTCCCTCTACCCTAATTGCCTTTATTGCTATCACAGGGAGAACTACGGATGGACCAATAGCTGCGCCAGCCCTGGCTGAGCCTTGCACTGACCTCAGCCCACAGCTCGAGGAGATTAGGGCCTGAAGGGAGGTACAATGGATTAGATCCCATGGAGGGAAATCCGTTACCCACATGGCTAAATCTGAAGATGGGCTGTGCCGAGCAGTGGGATGCATCACTCTGAGCCCCTGGGGCTGGGATTTCGGTAGGAGCACAGAGGTTGCGGAGGTGTCCACCCCACGACACACACCATGCTGCAGAACTGGGTCCGCGCTGGCTGTGGGTGCTGCTCAGTGCGCTGCCTCTACCAGGCTGCCAGAAGCAGGGCAGAACTCCTCACAATGGGGCACATCCTGAGCGCAGACCCCATGCTGCCTCCAGCTCCCCCATAAGCTGCTATTTCTGATTTTCTCCTTTGCTTCCTCAGCACTTAGGGATCCCAGGGCTTAGCATGCTAAGAGGTTTTAGGGTATTACATGTTCTGCTGCAGCACCAGCAGGAGCAGGAGGCTGCAGAGGGACAACACACCCCCATACAGTGCACAGAGACATCCTGCCTTCCTGGTGAGTGACATGGAGCAGCTTCCCAGAAACCTGGGCTACCTGGGGTTGCACAAATCCTTAAAAAAGGGAGCTGCAGAGCTCCCATGGCTGCATACTGTACTTTGCTCATCACTGCTGGTGTGCTGGGTGCTTGCATGCTGCTACCTCAGTGCACTCCTGCAAAGCGTCAGGGGTCTGAGCTGCTGACCGACCAACTGGCACAACCATAAGAGATGTTCTTTCTTAATCCTTGCAAGAAATTAGTTGTGAGCTTCCAATCTAAATGTACAGATAGCAAGTGGTTCCTTGAAGATCTCCCAGACTTGGATCAGAAAAGGCTTTTAATTGATTTTCACAGTTTTCAGGCTGAGTGAGCTCTGTGCTGAGGCTCACCCTACGGTTGAATCCTCTGCTGCTGTTTTTCTCCCAGCACAGCCCAGGAGGCCTGGGAGCAGAGCAGGATGCAGCTCTGCTGCGCACAGACATGGCACAGCCCCGAGTGTCCCACAAGCGTAGCATTGCACCAAATACATACGGTTCCTTCCAACATCCCAAACCTACAGCTGTACCCAGAGCTGTGCAGAATGTGTGCTATGATCAGGAGGACAAAAACAGCTCTTGATGATGACCCAGGATTGCAGTGTGGGGCTGCAGATTGCTGCTCCAGGCTGCACTCAGACCCCAGCTCGGTGTGCTGCTGTAAAGGAGCTTATCAGGGAAAACAAGATCCAAACTGTGAAATGCCCCTCACACCCCACAGCCCCTTCTGCCCAGCGCATTTCTCATCTCCCAGCACCCTGCAGCCCTTACCTGCGTGCCCAGAGGATCAGCTGGCAAAACCATCACAGCGCCGCGGAGCTTTGGATCAGTTACCTGGCAGCAGCACCTGGCTGAGTTCCTGTGGCAAACTATCGCAGCACAGTAACCCAATCGCTGCGTGCTGGCAGCAGGGCGGCATGGCCAGGCCGGGGTGGTTTCAGCTAACAGCCATGGGCAGCAGCCAGCACTGGGCTCCCATCCGCTCCCATCCAGCGCCAGGACCTGATTTTAGGGCTGGTTCTTGAGGAAGCTCCTTGTTGCTTTGAAGAAGAAGGCCGCAACATGTTTTATAACATGTTTTTAGAAATAGCTGATTTGAAGGAGTAAATATACCGTATATTTTAGTAGTGTCCTTTTAGAAACACAGCTGCTGAATTGTTGCATTATGTAATTAATTCTTGCTTGCAAAACTGTAATAGCTTATAGCTGTTTCTAATAGTTATGGATGTAGCATTATTGACTAGAAAGTAAGGCTATTCTGTTTTAACAAGAAACCTTCAGCAAAAGAAACACAGTGATGAGATGATGTGAGTAGGCTTATCAAACATCAAAAGAAGCCCTCTACACAAGGCTGAAATGTTTCATTGTGGAAGCAGGTTGGGACGCAACAGGCAGACATCAAGATACTCCCCTCTAGCTTCCTTATCTTCCAACACCCCAGTATATATCATTAAAACACAGGTTGCCAAACTTATTTCTACCCAAGGACAAGCAGATGTCTGGAAATAATAGCCAAGTACTGAGTGAGAAAAAGTTACGATTTTGGTACCTATGAATTACTTATAATTGGCATCCTCCTACCAAGCATGCATCGATGAAGAAAGTCCGTATAGAGGGTGAGTGAGGAAGACCACTGGATGAAGGAACAGTTGGTTGGACTGTCTTGATGCTAGAAGGATGCCAGGCAGTGGAAGAGACTGTGGAATAGAAGGGTGAAAACCTCATAAACCACTATCTGAGATGGGTGTGTATACGTTAATTATTTCATGTGTAATTGATGAGCATGTACCATATAATGGAGGAATTTGAAGTGCTTATGGTGGAAATACCCCCAGTGCTTCCCAGCGCTGTAATAAGGAACGCCTGGCTGAACGAAAACAAAACTCTGCTGTTAAGTTTCTTCAATTCATTGTTAAACAGCACCGTAACACTTGGAGCTCCCGTTAGAAACCAGGAAACCAAACACCCCACAAGCAGCAAACACGAGGGCTTTTCAGCAACCTCACAAAGCTGCACCCGAGCGGGGCCACGCAGGACCGCGAGAACCGCACAGCGCTCTGACACGAGAGCTTTCGCTTTTATTTTCGCCTGCTTTCGTCCTCGGTTCGCTCTGCGGACACAGGACGAGGGCCGGGCAGGAGCTCAGCGCCGCGCAGCGCCTGCGGGCCTCTCCCCGCCGAAGCCGTCCCGGCACTGCGGGCGCAGCCGCCGCTTCCGGGTGCAGCCGTGCCGTGCGGTGCCGTGCCTCCGTCTCATTGGCAGTTCCGGGGCGGCCGAGGATCTCGGTGCTCTCCGGGTCCGGCTCGGCCCTCCCTGCAGCCTCGGCCCCGGCCCTCGGAGCCGCGCATGGACTTTCTGCCGCTCCTGCTGCTTTACCTGTGCCTCGTGCTCGCCGTTGCCGTGCTGTACTGCAGCCACGCGGGCAGCGGGGGCGGCCGCCTGGGCAGGGCAGCCCGCAGCGCCGGCCAGGTAAGGGCTGAGCACGGCGGGGGGCTCCGAAGCGGGGCCGTGGGGCGGGGCTGGGGGAACAGCTTTACACTAAGGCGGTTATTGAACTTGTGCAGTTTATGAGAGTCTAAGCGGACTTTGATCCTATTTTATTCCCAGTATCAGCGTTTTGCTCATCACCGTGGAGAGAAATGTATTGTTTCCCCACATTTCTGAATGTGTACTTGTATGAAACGTGACAATCAGCAGCTAAGCTCCCCGTTTGGAGAAATACAATTGATACTGGTGTGCGTGAAATAGAGAAAGGTAGTCCTAAATAGTGTCTCTAGGCACTTCATCTTTTTTTATATCTGGCCCTAATGAGCGAAGTGCATAACTCTGGAAGTGCATTGCCATTATTTGCTGTGCTCCTTTGAGATCCTTTACACTATTCTGTGTGCTGGGAAGTCAGCCACATGCACACAGCACAGCTGTTCCCAGCCCTGCAACATCTCCCACCCCCATCTGCCTGCTGGGCTCCAGTTGTGCAGGGTGGTTGTGCTCACTGTACGGCTCCCATCCCCTTGTACCTCTGTCACCACCATGAGAGCATTTTGATTTGCTCTAGGAAAGGACTGAATTACAAGGAATTGATGTTCTGTGTGTGAGGAAGTAATGGGTTTGAATATAAGGTTAGGCTGTAATTAACACACAGCTGATTTAGTTTTCGTTCTGCAGTTGTGTGGTAGGCTGTGTGTAGCTCTGTCTGTAGCATGTCTCCTTGCTGCACTATGCAGTCTCTTTTGAAAAGACTTGTAACTAGAGCTGCTGATAAGAGGCATACCAGTTAAAAGAAAAATATTTAGCATCTTCTCAACTCTACATATGTCTTTTGCCTTCTGGTCTTTCGCATCCGAGATAAAAAGCTGTGACTCTGTTTTCTTTCCCTGTCTGCTAGAAATAGGCTCAGCTGCTCTATTTCTTCCACTGATAAAGCAGAGCGTTGCTATAGAGATGTCATCTTCTGAACAGCAGAGCCAAACAATTCCCCAGTCACACACAGTTGCAGAGGATCCTGCTGAATGAAGACAGGCAGTTTTCTTCTTCCCCGTGTCTGGCTGTTTTTGAAATGCCAATTAGGCAGATGTGGAGCTGTCAAACTGAGCTGTAGCTGTAGCTGAAGGAACTGGGGTGTGTGTTGTTGACTTCTTGTTTTGCTTTTTGGTTTCCTATATTTGATTGTTGATCTTTCTGGAGAACAGCAGGCTTTATCTCTTTGCTTATCTCCCCTTACATCTGTTAGATGTCCCAGTGAAGCATATTGTAGTTCAGAAATTGCTCAGTTCTATCCCCTGCTTAGCCAGTTAAACAGTCTATAACCTGATAAAAGCTCCTTATAACTTTCACACATTAACCCAGATACATTTGTTTATGCCTGCTGGGCTTCCAAGAATGCAGAACCTCTCTTCCCTTTTGAAAGCCCCAGCAACATGCCCATCAGGAGCTCGTGTGCCCCCAGAAATGAGCATCCTCCCTGGTGATATGGCTGCAGTGATCAATAACTGAGGGATTAGCGACTTACCTTTTTATTTCAACAGTGCACAAGGTAGAAGTGGTGTGCAATTCAGATAAACACAGTCTTTTTATTTTCCTCAGGTACTGTCATTAGTAATCCCCACTCGGCTCCAGAGTGTGACACAGAAGGTGCTCCTCAGGCTCTTTCACACACGGTAACGCACATTTACTTAATGCTTTTGACATTATTTGTTGCTAATATTTCTGATTACAGTTGGTGTCCTGTTAGTATTATCCTTAGGTGTTCTCTTTCCATCAGGAAATTACAGGAAATTATCAGGATTACAGATTCCCATTAAGGTTTGTCAGGCTGTTGTCTTGCTGTTACTTGTGTTGAGAAGATGGTTCTCTGAAACATCTGAATGTATTTGAAGAATAATGTAGCTCAGCAGCTTCCACTGTAACAGATGTTGATCACACTGGTGGTAAACCACATCCATGGGAGAATTACAGCAAACTCCCTGGCAGCTGCAGAATGAGTTCAGGCAGAGCTGCTGATCCCTGCTCTCTCCCCCTCAAATCCCATTACACCCTGCAGCCTGGATGTGCGGGTGGCTCACAGGAAGCTGCCAATGTCTAGCCTGCTGGATTGAGGTGAATTTAGCAGCATCCTGTAAAATCTGGTGCTTTAGGATCTGTTTCAGAAACTTCTTAAATACTCATTCTGTGGGGGCAGAAACTCAGGTATGCCATGTACTTTAGGGGCATAATATTTCCAGCTGTTGAATGCACACCACTGCTGTTTGTTTCCTGCTGTGCAGATTTTCTGGTGTTAGTTAACACTGCCCTAGAGAGAGTGGTTTCACTGTTGAATGTGCAGTCAGCAACAGAGCAATTATCTAATGAGCTTGGTGTAGCTGTCACTGCTAGATTACGATTTGTGCTGGAGGCACTTTGATCCTTCAAGCAAACTGTTCCACTGCTTTACCTCGCTGTTTTATAGCAGTACACAGCAAATGTATTTTGGCAGAATGTTTTATAGCCTATTGCTATGGCATGTTTTGGCAGCACCAGGGGACTGTGAGACTGCGCTTGATTAGCTGGTGGAAATTAATCCAAAGGATGTGCTGATAATGGATGTGAGTTTAGTTGGTGTATTTAAAGGAGTGCGACGAAGAGAAGGTGAAGCTCCTGGGTGGAGAGAACACTTAATATGCAATCTGTGCTGGCCTGAAAACCTGAAAGAGGTGTCTCCTTGCATTTGGAAAGTCTTCCCTGAGCCTATTTGATCTGTTGATCAGGATGCTGAATATTAACTAGACGATCTCCTTGCTGTTGCAGAAACTATCTGTTTGTTGTCCTGCACATAGCCTTGCAAGCAGCAGTTTATGCTGAATACACATGGGAAGTGTTTGTTTACTGCTGGGAACTGGAGTTCCACCTTGTGCTGCTGCTGCTGCCCTACCTGCTGCTGCTTGGGAACATGGGCTGCTTCATTCTGTGCTCCTGTGCCAATCCTGGTAAGCTCATGCTGAATGTGGGCTGTGGCTGTTTGAAAATAGAACCTTTAAATGTTGATAGTACCAATACTTCTACTTTTTTGTCTTGTTTCTTTCACAGGTATAATAACAAAATCAAATCATGCATCACTGATGAAGACTTATGCGTATGATGGTGTATTATTTCAGAAAGGCATTGTGTGTGCTACATGCAACGTGGAAAAGCCAGCCAGATCAAAACATTGCAGTAAGAACTTTAACTTCTTTTACAAGCAAAATAATACATTCCCAAATTAATTCTTTATCAGTAATTGCAATTCATACTACATCTGTTTTATTACCCAGTTCATTGCACATAGAATTTTGTTCAGTTTCATCAGGGTTCCACATCACAGCTGCCCTTTGCCCATTCGTGCTATTACTTGTTCTCACAGAAATGACCAGTTCTGAAGGTATTGCCTTGGGCCAGGGCTAGACAAGCTGTTGAACACCTAGAGGTGAAATAAAAATTATTGTCTGACAGGAGTTCAGAATTTCTTGTTTTACTGGCAGAATTTGCTGCTGTCATCATCATTTAAAATGAAGCAGGCTAGTTACAGTCTCTACCTTTCACGTGCTGTGTTAGGCAGTACTGCCAGAGAAAGCAAAATACTTGAGCTCTAGTCTTGATAAATTAAGAAATGAGGTACACATGTTTGTTTTTAATGTTGTTTGTTTGGTGGTAAGTAGTTGAATTCCCTTTAATTTACACTATCACCCAAATCATGACTGCAATTCTCATTTTTTTTCTTGAATGCAGTGCTGTCCTAAACTGTGTAAAAATTGAATCAATCTCTTAAAACCAAATAACTGAACTTGCCTTGTTGCTCCCTTGTGATCAGGTTTCTGTAATACCTGTGTGCACCGTTTTGATCACCACTGTGTATGGGTCAACAACTGCATCGGTGCCTTCAATGCAAAGTATTTCTTCCTCTACCTCTTCACACTGACTGTGATGGCTGCGACCATTGCAATCATCACTACAGCATTTCTCATCCAAGTGGTGCTGCTGTCAAACATGATGCACGGGAGTTACATTGATGACCAAGGACAGCAGCACGCTGTTGAGATTTTCTTTCTCATCCAGGTAAGCTTACACTGGCTGGGCTCTTAGCCTATGAAAAGATTTATCTTTGTCTTTGCTTATGGAGATCTTCAAGTCTGCCTGTTATCAGAGGCAGAATGTAAACAGATGGCACTTTTTTACTGACTTACACAGCTGTTTAGGTTTAGAAAACTGAAGAATACTTTAACAATACGGGATTTTTCTCATAGCATTTTGTTCACATTCTCATTCTTTGGATTTTTGTGTCTCCACTGCTTTAACTCAACAGATCTGATACATGAAAATGGCTATATTCCAATGACCATCTGTTTTAGTTTCGTTTAGGAAATGGCCATCAATCCTTGAGATAAGTACGTTAAAGCAGGACCCTTCTATCCTAAATTTAGATCCTCAAATATTTTCTCACACATTTAAGCAAAGAATGGCTGAGTCACTCTGGTACTTCAGTCATTTTGCTTTTCATTCCCTTCATCCATTTCTTTAGCAGATGAGGTGATATGTAATGAATGCTCTCTTAAGCCATGTGATTTAATAGCCCAGCTTTATAACCAAATCATTATTTTCTTTTCCTTGCAGCACCTTTTCTTGACTTTTCCTAGGATTGTCTTCATGCTTGGTTTTGTTATTCTTCTCACACTTATACTGGGTGCATACTTCTGTTTCAACCTATACTTGGCCTTAACCAACCAAACTTTCAATGAATGGTACAAATTCAGAAGATACAGGCATTCCCATCATCGAACACTGCAGCCTTGTGACAGAAAAGTTGTCTACAAAAACACTTATACTAAAGGAGTCTGGATGAATTTAAAGGAAATCTTTAAGTCTCATGCAGTGCTGGAAAGAAAGAAGAAAAAATGAAGATAAAACTCTTTATTGCATTGTTATTTTTTTTACTTTTTGTAAAACGTGCTTTGATACCATGGGGAACTTTGTTCAGATAAGAAAAAAAAAAACAATTTCAATTAGTTGGAAACTTCTCATGTGATCAGTCTTCCAGAAGGAAAAAGCTGAAGCTCCTGCAAGTTTGTCTGCAACACTGCTCAGATCAGCTGTGAAAGCAACGTGTTTGTCTTCTCAGACACATCTGCAGTCCAGAAGCTTGCTGTACTCGAGTTAGGTTCAGCTAAGGTACATCATGTACACAGAAAATGACTTTATATATATGGTTACTGTTTGTATGCTGCAAAATATATCCCATGGTATAATTGGCAAATGGAGCTCCTGAGTTACTTTAGTGTATCTTATGTACATCTTCCTGCAGGAGACCTTGGAGGAACTTAGCAGTGCCATGCATGTGGAAGAGGTAAATGAATGCACTGATTTGTCTGTTACTTACACTGTGTTTGCCCTGCAGAGAGATCACAGCTGACAGCAATATTCTAATTAACAGTACCTCAGCAGAACTCTATTTAAGTTACTCAGTGTGAAGCTGTTAGAAGTCCTGGTAACAAACTTGCTGACAGGAGGTGCAAGTGTGGACCAACAGACTGCAGTGAATCTCTCCATGCAGGAACAAGGGGAGAGCTAACGAAGAGCTGTTGTGAGCTCTGAGGAAGCTTCATCTTTTTGTGAGTACCTTTGGCCAATGTTTAACCTATTAACAGTATGTAGGAGTTGCATATATTCAGCTAAAAAACAGGAATACTCAGATTCAGCAGTTTGCAGAACCAGTGTTACACTGCAAATTTGAGTGAGTATGGAACTCCTTATTTTCAGAAAGGAAGCCACAAGTGCTGCTCCTTAGCTGCTGAATCTCTTTTGATGCCCATTCTCAGCAATTTCACAAGGTGTTGCTTTAGCATTACTAAAATGGTGGACTTCTGATAAAATTTCAGCATCCTGAAAGAGTATTAAAATGGTGGTTGAGCTCTGGAGATGCAGATTCTGGCAGATTACAAACTTAATCCTTCTGGCATTTTTCATTTTCATTCTGCTGTTTGAAATTCTGATCCTGCTGTAGGGATTTCTTTGCATTTCTGGCATTTTTCTGCAAAGGAGGTTAACAGCAGCTGAAGCTGTTTCTTGGGCTGCCCTCCTGCATTCACAAAATGGACCCCATCAGAAATACAGCAGTAATATGGGTTTCCACTTCTGTACTGGAAATTCTGTAGGTGAACTCTGAAGGGCACCTTATCAGTGGGCTTCAAAAAAAAAAAAAAGAAAAAAACCAAAAGCACACCCTGTGACTTAACTATCAAAGAGAGAAGTAAATTTATGGCCATGAAAGTAACCTATAATCCCTCTGACTGGAATTTTGCTGTAGGTCACTTGAAAGATCTCTAAAAGCAGAAGGCACAAATCTGAGCTTGTGGAGATTTGCTAGGGGTGAAAACTTGTTTTTGAGTCACCAAAGGATGAGGGTTTCTTAAGCATAATGTTATATGCCTTGTTCTTCTTTCCTTCCAGAAATTCTTCTGAGTGATAATAGAGCAGAAATAATAGGAAAAGTGTAGTAAGAACTTTAAATAACTTTATTTTTAAAAATGTATTTACATGCCTAATCTGTACAGTATGCAATTACAAATCCATACATGGCTGTAAAAAATTAATGTACAATATGGCTTTACACACCAACAGACTAGCTCCCAGAGTAGCCTGTCTGGCTTTGCAAGGGTGCAATGACATGTTCTTTATAGACCAGTACATAAGGCTACTTGTCCAGGATATAAAATACTTTAAAAATATATATATATACTGCAGTACCATGCCTTAGGAGGAGTAAAGTAGTGAGGTTAAAGGCATGAAAGCGTTTGACTGGTGGTAAATGCACACCAGAACTCCTTAGGTTTGGTTTTCTTGGTTTGTTTTAAATGCATACGATTAATTTTAGTCATCTCTCATGAGACCTACATACTTGCTTCACTTTCTGAATCCTCTTAAACACCAAGATGCTACTGTTCTGTGGTCAGAGGTAAATGCTTTGCAAAGGAATTTCCTTTATTTGAGGGAGCTGCACAAAAAACAGACTGTCAAATATGGCATAGTGGTCACTTTCAGAGTAAACCCATGCAGAGGGCTTTAACTACTGTCATTTCCATTTTAAACAGAAAACACCTCAGGGCTGTACCACCCTGTTAAGCCATTTACCTATGGAAGCCCTCCTGCTCTGAACAACTGTAACGGCAAACCTAGGACAGATCAAACTCCCCAGCCTGGAGGCACACAGTAAGTGTAAGGTCTGTCAGTAGCTGCATGCTGTTCATTACACAATCACAGTCTGGACTTCCACCTCCCCTTCCTGGGAGGCAATAACAAACTCTCCTGTATGTTCCATTATTTCAATGTCCTCTGATGCCACCATTGTCACTGTTGCTTCTTCTGTCTCGATGCTGCCTTCTGTTGTCAGCACTGCTCCTTCTCCAATGGCAGAAGCCAGTGTCATAGCGACCTGCTCTGTGAGGCTTTCGGGGGTCGCAATGGTGATGGTGTCTGCAGCATCTGTGGTTACTTCAGAGTTTTCTGCTACGGTGACGTTCTGTACGATGATCTGGTGACCAGAGTTTGCTTGATTTACTATTTGTTGCACAACCTTCATAATGTGACTGTCAACCTACATTATGAGAAAAGTGGCCGTGTTATTTCCTGATGTGTTGCACTGTTAGAAGTACAGTCGTCATCTAGCTGAAAACCATGTCTGATGATCAGCAGTGCAGTACAGCAAGCAGCATTTAGTTCCCATTTCCTCCAGCTGCTCCCTGAAGCTCTCATGAACCCAAGAAAAGCAGAGTCTTATAACACGTGTCTTGTGCTACTGAAGGTGTTTTGCCAACAGGGTACTTCCTGGACTTAAAGTACTGTTTGTGGCAAAATCTTAACAGTGCACACTTAGTTGTTCAAGACAGGCTGGCTACAAGTGAGGAGTCTCTCATTTTGCAACAGCCCCTATTTCTAGCCTTCAGGAATTCATAAAGAGGATAATTTCTCAAGGCTGAAGTGGCATTGTACAATTCTACTTAGCAGCTTCAGTCTCCTGTACTAAGAACTACAGGTTACTAGCCTCCATCACTGAGGGGATCTGGGGTTAGACTGAGCTTTGTTCAAACTTGGTATGGTCACTGTTATTATTTTATACAGACAAGTCTGCAGAACTGCTTATTTAGCATGACTTCCAGACACTCAGAGGAGCTCATAACACTCAGAGGGGAGTCACAGAAAGAACAGTTTAAGTAGCTGCTTTACCTCATGTCTTGTTCCCTCCATTATTTCAGTAGCTTCACTGGTCTCCATATCTTCAGTAGCAGTCTTGAAAGACAAAATAGCATGATTCCTTTTTTAGATTATTAGGTTGTTGCTGTTGTTGTTGTTTTTTTTAATTCTATTTCCAAGATAAAAAATATCAAGACCTTTTATAAAATCATCCTGTTTCCCCCCACAATGCAGTAACTACTCTAGAGACAACTCCTTAAATTTTTCTCCAAATCCCATTATAAATGGCTACTTCACAGTAATGCAGAGTGCTCAGAAATAACTGAAAGAGGACATCCTCTCTCAGCAGGATTCTGCCAACTGGCAGATTTTTCTCCAATTAGTAGCAGCCCCAATGTTTACTATGGCAGCACTAAACAGACTCAATGAATGGACTTATTCTGCATAGATAAGAGCTGGCTCCCTGTCACAAAGAAGGAGAAAGCGAAGTGCATCAATTGTTGTTTTTTGATGGTCACAAAAACTGTTTCAGACAAAATAAGCTAACTAGAAATGGGAGAATAAACTGAAGTTGAAGGAAAGCTGAAGCAAGTGTGAGAGGTCAGAAGATCTTCTATAGTCAGAAGTTCTTAGTTCCAGCCTTCCCCACATCCTCATTTTCCTGCCTCAGTTATGTGCAGGACAACAAGGCTGCTTGCTCGCTTCTTACCTCAATGATGTATTCCTGAGTGTCTGCCACCACTGAAGAAAACTCTACCAAAACAGTATGAGGATCTTCAGAGATGACTGTTGCAGCTAAATTGTCAGCTGACTGGCTTTCCTCAGACACCATCACTTCCTCCACCTCTTTCAAAGCCAGAAGGCAGCCACCTGAGTGGAATTCCAAAAATGCCGTAAAAAGACAATTTACATAACCAACACAAATATGGGGATACCTGGCAAATGCTATGCAACACTAATGAGACCCCTTTAACAGGATACCACTAACAAATAGCCAGCAATCAGCAGCCTTTAATCCCACCAAGCCAATTAATGATCTAGAAGAGGTCCATGCTTCATTACTGATTAATGTAGATTGGGAAAAAACAAAAAAACAAGTCTGCATCCCCTCTTGTGATGCAACAGAGATGCAGATAAATAAATGGCCTTTGATGAAGATCATTAGAACCACTCTAAATGTTTTGCACCCAGAAAAATCATCATCATTCTGCCAAGAATCAGCTCGTCCAAACCTGATCCCAGAAGAAACGTGCATCTGCCCTCACTGCAACAGAGATAAACCTGGCCATCTCACCTTTGGTCTTTAAGTGCCTGTTGAGCGTGCCGTGCTCTGCGAAGCCTCGCCCACACTTGTAACACTTGAAAGGCTTTTCCCCCGTGTGATGGCGGATGTGGCGGACCAGGGAGCCCTTTTCCCTAAAGCCCCGGCTGCAGTACTGGCACACGTAAGGCTTGTCCTCCAGATGCGTACGGAAGTGGACTTGCTGAGCGTTCTGTAGAGAGAGAAGCACCAGTTAAAGGGAATGCCTAAATCAAGCAAGCAGTGTTTTAGCTTTCAGTGTGAAAGTCAGCGTGTTTGAGGACTTCTCACCTAAGGCACGACAAAGATGTTTGTATTATTTGTTTTCATACGTGAAGGAACAGTTTCCTCAGAACTAGGAATTAAGACTGCCTTTCTTGTCCCTACTGATACAAAAGTGTCTTCTGCTCTTGTAAGAGGAGAGGAGCTGGCATTTGTTTGTTCAGCAGTGAAGCCTCCTAGCTTATCCCAAACCCAAGCTCTGGGAAGGAAACTCTCAGGGCGAGCCTGACACAAGGCAGACACACCTTGGTTTTGTACCGCTTGCCACACTTTGGACAGGAATACGGTCGCTCATCAGAATGCACCCTTCGATGCCCCTTGACGTGTGCAATAGTCTTGTAGAGCTTGCCACACTCTCCGCAGCGGAAACGCCGTTCATTGACGTGCACCTCCTGGTGCTTTTTTAACAGGTAGCCCTTAGTGAACTCTTTGCCGCATTCTTCGCACTTAAAAGGCTTGTAATCTAGAGAGAGAAAAGCATTTCTGTCATTAATGCTTAAATTGGCCTTTTCACAAAACTCTACTTCTGCAGATGCCAGGCAGGTCCGGAAGCATGGAGCCTTTTTGTTAAGCTCTAGAACAAAGTGTAAAAGAATAACACAAACCATTGCTGTGATCTTTTCGTGTTTTGTGTTAAGCACCAACAGAATTTGTATGGCTGAGGTTTGTCTAAAAGCAAAGAATGTGAAACAGTGAAAACTACATTGTGTTCAAGATCACAAGATCTTGAGAGAGTAAGAGAGGTAAGAGAGGATGCATTTTAGACCATAGCTGGGCGTTACAGCCTTACCTAAATGTCCTTTGATATGCGTTTCAAGGGAAGCAGCTTCACTGAAAGCTTCAGTACAGTGAGGACAAATGTAACTTCTGTAGCCATTTGTTCTTTCTGCATCTGTCTATTGGAAAGAAAATGGCACGGTATATATCTTTTTTACTGCTCTGTAATTATTTGTAACTAAATTCCCAATTAAATATTCCAGCTTTCACCCCCATCCCTCCCAAAAAAGATTGATATTGATAACAGGAGCTTGCACTAACATGCATGAAAAGCATGCAACAAAAGTTGGCACAAAGACAAAGGGACAGGGAGAGGTGCATGGAAGATAATGTGCAGGGTGGTCAGGATTACACTACTGTTCACAACCAAGTGCAGGCTCAGAAGATTAAGAAATTAATCTACAAAGTGCAAACATACAGGCTCTGATGGTTCTACTTCAGCATGCTGTTCCCCACATGGCTCCTCTTCCGCTTCCACCACTTCATTTTTTATTTCTTCTGTAGCAGCCACAGCAGGCTCATCTGCCTTCTGCATTTCTTCCACAGCAACTCTCTCTATCACAATGCCAGAATTCCTCATGGCCTGCCTTAGCAGATTCTCACTGTTTGTTTCCCCCTCACATGGCAGCTCCTTAGGATGTGACTGCTAGAGGAATAAATAGTCCAAAACTTGGTACAACAAATGCACAGGCTGCTTTTGACATATTTGGATGAAAAATCAAAAAGAGAATGATCTTCAACTGGGAAGATGAGACCAGTCTGTACTCTTAAAACATTCAAGGAAAAGCTTTTGCTTCTGTCAGCGTCCTGCAGTAGTGCATGATCAATGTAAACAGCTTCTCACATTTTGCATCATCCAGTAAGGGACCCTATGCATCTCAGTGTATGCTCCACACTCAAACAAGGTCAAAGCACAGTTTGCCTTCTTTGCTTTCAGATGAGAGAGGAGCTAATTATCCATTTATTTTTCGCTGCACAGATTTACACTTAGCACCTAAGAAAATTTCATGAGGTAAAACCCTTCAAACTACTTCTTGCATAAAATACAGGATATTCAAGAGAAATAACACTCACATCTTCATCCAGAGATTTTGCATCTACAACAGGAAGCTCCTGCATTTGGACATGGACTTCATGAAGAACGTTGCCTTTTGCATCTGTCACTAGATGAATCACAGGTGACGTCTCAATGGATTCACTCGCTATTGATGGAACAGTTTCTGAGTTTGAACTACAGGATCCTTCAAGAAAAGTAGAATGCATCACCTGATGTAATGCCCACCCCTCATCCGTTTACTGCACCCCACAATAAATGTGTTTTAGAATACAAAGTGCCTGTTAAAACCATCCTTGTAACGGATTCTCAAACATTCTTTAGAGCCTGGCATCAACTATGTGCACTTTGGATTAATAGTTTTGATCTATATAAAAAAGGACATTTTCTGGTGTAAAAGAGAAACTGACTATCAATGCAAAATGTTTCTTAAAAGAAAAACAACGTATAGTTCAAATGCCAGGAGCATGCCTGGTTTTATCAGACACAAGGCAGTTATTCACAGCATCACTGACCTGCGGGCAGATCATCTTTATTGACTACTATTTCCTTGTTCATGTTGAAGCGAATTTTTTCAGTGCAAGGTGTCAGAGATTTCAGGTGCCGAGTCAACGCTCCTGATTCCCGGAAGCTTTTCCCACATTTTTTACATTTATAAGGTCTTTCATCTGGGAATGACAAGAATCAAAATAACAGTATTAAACCAACAGCTGCCAGTTTAAGTTCTGTGTGACGGACTTACAGAAGAGTGCTTTCAACTACTTACAGCAAGCAGATTACGCTTATCTCACAACCCTGCATTGCCTCCCAGCATCCCAGACATCGGGGAACTCAACAGCCTCAACTCAGCTCAGTGGAAGATGGAAAGCAGCAAGAAACTCCATTCTAAAGTATGCTGGATAACAACACACAGTGCACCCCAGCAACAAGGGGCAATTTGAAGTTCTCTTACCAGTATGACGCCGATGGTGTCGAATCAGAGACCCCTTTGTCCTAAAGGAAGTTCCACAGAGTTTACATTCATAGTCCTTTCTGCTGCTGTGAGTGATCATGTGAGCTTTGAGGATGCTTGCCTGGGATAGAAATCACATTTTGAAAGAAGTCTCAACAAGTGAAATATTTCCGTGATAAAGAGCAAAAGTGTTCTTTTTCAAAGGTTCTAATTTCAAAGTATATCACACTGTAGAAAAGCATGTCGTTATCAAGTCTTGCCTTAGTATAACAGCTAGCCTCAATTTAGTGCTAACCCAAACGGCATAGAAATTACACTTACTGTTTTAAATGTCTTCTGGCACAGCTCGCACACATACCGCCCTTCTTTGTTGACCAGAAGCTTAACCTTTATCAGCTCTGTGGCAATATCCTGCTCCTGATCATCGGGGTTGCCTTGTTCTTCAGTGACATCACCATCAACGTGACCATTTGGGTTTTCAAAAACGTGGTCTCCTGCCACGATGACTTCTTTTATGTGCCCGCTACCTGGGAAAAGGACACAGACCGTTCTGCACAAAAGGCAGCTTTACATGCCTACCTAGGATCAATGTATTGCTCCAGAATTTCAAGTGGTAGGAAAGGAAGGAAAAAACAGATGCTTTAACCCCGGAACGCTTGTCTTTGTAAAGTTTGTATTATTGATATTATAATAGACGTTTTGGAGTGAAAGCTTAAATCTAAGGATGGCTTTTGCATCTTGAAAATAATGCCCAGCCCCAAGAGCATAACACAGAAATGTCATTTATGGGCCACAGCACAGACAACACAGGGAAGGATGCTGGAAAAGCGAACCACCCCCTAACACAGGGCCACAAAGGCAGCACCACACTCACCTACGATAGCTGACGCATTGCCGATCTCCTCTGCTATCGAGGATGCTTCAACAACGATATGAGCAACGGTTATGGACTCCTCGACCGCGGGAACGACCTGTAGGGGCGGAGATAGTGTCAGCAGGAGGGGCAGAGCCCTCCGAAGTCACAGCGCTGCCCTCAACCCTCGGGACGGGCACCGGGCCCCGCTGTCACCTTCGGTTCCTCGGGGCCCAGGGCCGGCTCCGGGCCGCGCTGGCAGCGCTTCTGGATCTTGTGCTGCACGAACTCCTCCAGGGAGGTGAACTCCGCCTGGCAGCGCCCGCACTTGTGCACGTCATCCTCGTCTGCAACGTAAATTCGGTCGGCGGGTTCGGATATCGCGGGGATCGCGCCCAAACCGGAGCTGCGGGCGCTCCTACCGGGCCCGTCACGGCCGGGCCCCCGCCGCCCCCCGGCCCCACTCCGCCCGAGCCCCTCCGGTACCTTCCTCGCCGAAAGGCGCCGGGAGGCCGAGGAAGGTGCCGGACCCGGCGCCGGGCCCGGAGCCCGCTGCCGCCGCCCCCTCCCGCTCCTCGGCCGCGGCTGCCGTAAGCGCCGCCGGCCCCGCGCTCGTTGCCACCGCGGCCTCCATGTCGCAACGCGCCGCACCGCCAAGATGGCGGCTTTACGGCCGTGTCGTCATAACAACGGGCCGCGTGCCGCGGGACGGCGGCCACAGGGGCTCGGCAGGGAACGCGGCCCCGAACGGGGGTTCCGGGAGCGCTGTCGGTCCGACGGCCTTCGGGCGGCGCCTCCGCGTGCCCCCCGCTGACCTTTGACCCCGCGCCCCCATGAACCCGAGCCTAACGAGTTACTACGCGAGGCGGCGGGGCCGCCCAACGGGCTCGGATGACCACCCGCTGCCGGCCAACCGCGGCGCATGAGAGGCGAGGCCGCAAGGAGGGTGCCCAGTAAGAGCGGACGGAGCCGGCCGCGCGGCGAGGCGGGGGAAAGTTCGGGAGGCCGGTTCTGTCCAATGGGAGCGAGGGCCGGGCGAAGCGCGGCCAATGGGAGCGGCGGAGGGGGCGGGCATCGCTCCGAAGCGCGGTGAGGCGGCCATGGCGGCGACGGGCGGGCGGCAGTGCCGGCGGCTGGAGGGCGAGACGGCTCGGGCTGTGCTGGCCGACGTCGACACGCTGCTGTTCGACTGCGACGGCGTGCTGTGGCGCGGCGAGGCGGCGCTGAGCGGCGCGCCGGCGGCCCTGGGCCGTTTGGCGGCGGCGGGCAAGCGGCTGTGCTACGTGACCAACAACAGCAGCCGCACGCGGGTCGCTTACACCGAGAAGCTGCGGCGCCTCGGCTTCCCGCCCGCCGAGCCCCGCCACGTTTTCGGCTCGGCCTTCTGCGCCGCCCGCTATCTCCGCCAGGCCCTGCCGCCCGGCGCCTCCGCCTACGTGCTGGGCAGCCCCGCGCTGGCCGCCGAGCTGGAGGCCGCCGGGATCCCGCACTTCGGGCCCGGCCCCGCCGCCCTGCCCGGCCCCGCGCCCGCAGACTGGGCCCAGGCGCCGCTGGAGCCGGCGGTGCGCGCCGTGCTGGTGGGCTTCGACGAGCACTTCAGCTACGCCAAGCTGTGCCAGGCGCTGCGCTACCTCCTACGCGGCCCCGACTGCCTCCTCGTCGGCACCAACCGCGACCACCGCCTGCCGCTGGAGGGCGGCTCCGCCATCCCCGGTACCGGGCGCGGGGATCGGGGTGGGGGGCGGCGCCCGGACGGAGAGAGCCGCTCCTGTCCGCTGCTTTGCTTTGGGGCGGCGGCTCCTCGCCGTGCTTCTTCGTCTGGTTGTTGGATGTTCCTGCGGGGAGCCGCGAGTTGGACTCGATGGTCCGTACGGGTCCCTTCCAGCCCGGGCTGTTCTGTGGTTTATTTTCCTACGGGCGTGGCGGTCCCTGCTTTATTTCGGTGCGAGTTGTCCCTCCCCTCCTAGCAGGCTTTCAATTACTGGGTGCCAAGTCCTGAAGCCCTCTGTGCAAACCTGGGTTTTTGAAGTACCCCACATGATTTTAACCGGGTGCCATCTCCTGCGGGTGCTGAGAGTCCTTTGCAGTCCTTAATCGATATTTCTCCTCACCAGGGACCGGCTGCCTGGTAAAAGCCGTGGAGACAGCAGCAGAGCGCGAGGCTTTCATCGTCGGGAAGCCCAGCCGTTATATATTTGACTGCGTGGCCAGCGAGTTTGACATCGACCCTGCACGCACCATCATGGTGGGGGATCGGCTGGACACGGACATCCTCATGGGCAACACCTGCGGCCTCACCACCCTGCTGACACTCACCGGGGTCAGCACGCTGGAGGAAGTGAGAGGGCACCAGGAGAGTGACTGCCCTGCCCGGCAGAGCCTGGTGCCTGATTACTATGTTGATAGCATAGCCGACCTTCTTCCTGCACTCGAGCATTAATAGAGCAGAACGCTGGCAGTCTTGGGAGCCGTACCCCGAGGAGGGCCCCAATTAATCATCTCGTGACAGTAACGTACTTGCTATGATACCACCTGAAATTAGTAGCCCTTAGCTTTTTAACCCTTTTGTCCTCTTGGTATGATTTTGTTTACATCTCGGTCTTTTAAAATGCACTTTGAAACAAAGAGGGCATTATGGTGTCACCCAAGTCTTGTGGGTTTGGAGTTTTTTTGTTTTTTTTTTTTTTTTTTTTTTTAAATGATAAGCAACACGTATAGCCAAACATTTGTGATACTCAGTGTCATGTTGTCCTCTGGACTGAGTTGAGGAAAGCAGAGCCAATAGAGCTGAGGAAGAGAACCCAGCAACTTGCAGCGTGTCCTCCTGGACAGACTGTGGCTCAGTCTGATTTATTCAGGGAAATGACTTTTGGAGTGTCTAGTAACTTAGCAGCTGTGCTTGGAAATGCTTGCAGTGGCTGACAGAATTAGTATTTGGCCTTTGGATTGATTTATTTTTTTTCCCAGATTGGGTCTGTTCTGCAGTATGGCCCACTCTAAGTGTGACTTAGGAACTGAAAACGGTCTCCTTTATGTAGCCGTTACAAATTGCACTTGTAATGCAGATTAGGGTGATTCCACATGCAAAATACGAGTGGTGTCTTCTGTATACTGTAGTTGTCCGGGTGTTGGGTGTATGTGTAAAGTACATGTACATACAAGAACTACCCTAATCCTAACTCTATGTCAGAATATATTTAAAATATAAATTTAAGTATAGTATATGATAATATATCTTCTTTCCCAGAAGGGAAGCTATGAGGAATGTACTTCACTGATCACAAAAGTTTTAACTCTCATTAGCTTATGCATTTGGTAATGCAGAAAATATGTAACCATATAGGACTGTCCTTCACTCCTGCTGTCCCCAGCAGTAACTGGATTGATCAGACTCCAGGTTCGCTCCCGTTCTTCCTTCAGTGAGTCACAGCTCAGTCTACATCTGTTGAACCCCCCATTCCAACTCTCCACTGAAATAAACCTGGAAGAGAACCAACTATACATGACGACAGCACGTGCTTCCTTTAAATAGCTGAATTTAATATCTTCCTTGTGTGGCTGGTGTGGGGGCCTGGCACAAGCTGCTTGGCTGAAGAGTTTGCTTGCTCAGGTAATGATTTTATTTTGATCCCTAGGTAGCTTTTGTGTGATGCATAGCTCAGGCTATGGGACAGATTTTTATGCAGGCTAACTTGAAGGCTACGGTTCCAAGCTTTTGTATTGCAGAATCAAGTGAAAAATTATATATGCAAATAATGTTATTTTATGTATAGATTCAACTGTTGTCAGTTAAATTTAAGCACTGACCTTCCTTCATTTCCCATTGTTGGGTTGAATAGCTCTGGCTGTATCGATGCCGTTTCCCTCCACTCAGACACTAGAAATGAGTAGATTTACCACCTTGTTGGTACAGCAATAACTGTGCAGCCCATATTTCACTGTTATGAAAGTATTAGCTGGATCTTGTAAAAGACTTCCATAATTCAGAGTTGTGTAAGGAAGCACAAATAACCTCTTCCCTGTTCTCGTCTCTATCCAAGAAGGCTTGCAAAAGTCAGGAAAACTTTCATGTTACCTGGGTTACACAGAAATGGACATTGTGGGTTTACTGCAGGTAGGATCCGACTCGATGTGTTCTTCAGTTCACTTCCTGCATTTGGTGCTTCTAATTTCAGAATATGTCAAGTAAACCAGTACATGCCAGGTGAGGCGTTCAGCCTCTTGGTGCAGCACGCTGTCCCTGTTGAGCACTGTTCACTGTACAACCCATACCTCGATTCCCTTATGCTGAAATGTATTCTTGAAGGTGTCAGTTGTGCTTCAGAACTCTGTATCAACTTCCCAACGGTTTTTAAGCCTCTACTTCAGTTCACATTAAACTTGCAAACCTGCTTTTCCCTTGCATTGTCTTATTTTGTAGTCTCTTTTGTGTGCTCTGGTGGAAATTCTGGGAGTTAAGGATATGTTTGTGTTGACTGTCTCTGCTCCTTATGTAGAGTATCAGTGAATAAAGCCAGCCCTCCAGTACATTCCCCTTCACGCTGATGTTTTCACTACGTTTTGTAGATATTGTTTCATTCCTGTGTCTTAGATTAGGCATGGTATAAACTTCTTACTCTGCTGCCTGGACATGGAAAGTCTCAGTATGGGGATCATGCTGTTTCTGTGTTGCAATTTGGGGTGCTAAGCTTTGCAGCAGAAGCTTTGCAGCAGAAGCAGCTGGTGGACTGCAGTGGGAGGTTTGCTTCATGTTTTCTCTAACATCTCCATTTGCAGAAGGAGAATTGGTGGTCAGACTGTTTCAGCATAGTTCCTGTTTGCATCAGAGAAAACAGCAGCAGAGGACACCAAGTGTCTGAGATGGCTGGTTGGGGCATGCTGACCTGGTGTTTGATTGCACCTGAGCAGTCATGTCCCCCAGAAGCAGCATGCTAGGAGATTGTGCTGCTCTCTTCTCAAATAGGCTTTGACTTGCAGAAGGAAGCACAGAAAGCACGAGTGGAGGGGAGTGCATGGCTGTTGCTGCAATGGTGAGAAGCTCAGGGCTAAGTCCTCTTGACTGTGACCCATCCTGGGCCATGGTTTCGAGGTGTCCAAAAGCTGTCATCCCGTTCAGTGCCACATGGAGGAGTTCTGCTGGGATTTCCCTTGCCTCCTTGGCTTTGGTTATTCGTAGAATCATAGAATGGCTTGGATTGAAAGGGACCTCAAGGATCATCAAGCTCCAACTGCCCTGCTGCAGGCAGGGCTGCCAACCTCCACGTTTAATACTAGACCAGGTATTCCTGGCTGGCAGCTCAGAAATACCAACCTCTCACAGGAGTTTCTGAACTGCCCAGGAAAACTGATCTGAGCTGGGAGCTCTTGTGAGGTATTTCCCATCACAGAAGTGTGTTTGCATGAGCACAGCTCATGTGATGGTGACTTTGTAGCTCATGTCTAGGATCAAGACAAGTAAAGAATAGTATATGGAACACAAATGTGTGTGCAGCCAAGGCTTGCAGTGCAGCAGTCTGCAGGATAAACAGTTGGCTTCAGCCCATGGGGATCTGGCAGCACAGAGTTCATGCTGAAACGTAGAAATAACTGATGACAAGGGCAGGCTGCCACTTTTCTCTATTCATTTCATCTCTTAATGAGACTCACCCAGTCCTGCTACTGGGGACTGCCAGCAGGGAGGCCCTGCACAAAGCCCTCAATTATGTTCCACCTGCATGCCTCCAGCTGGCTCACAAGGTAAGCAGGAAGAGTGCTTCTCTACCACTGACAGTATAACTCTGCACCCCTGGCTGTCCCCCCTCCTTCCTCCTCTCCCCTGGCTGCAGCTCTAAGGTTTCATCCTCCTCGCAGGTCTGAGCTGAGGAGCACCTGGCTGGAACTCCTTTGGCCACAAGGATCGCGCATTCACGTTTTGCAGGTGTGTGCTTAAGTTTCCTGAGCACGTTCAGAGCTCAAGATCATGCCCAGTCTGTGTATCAGCAGGACGCAGAGCTGCAGGAGCAAGGTTGTCATCTGAAGTGGAGGATGGAGGGTGGGAACAGCCCCAGCGACGCTGTCTCTGCAGTGAGTATCCCTGGTCCCTAAAGGATCACACAGGGCTCTCGTTCAGTGCTTGCTCAGTATCTATGCCTCTTCTCAGGGAGCTGGGTGTCTGCCTGCCCCTGTGCTCATTCGCTGGTTTCCCACTTGGGGGAAATTTGCTGGCTGTTGAGAATCTCCCCATTACTGTGGGCTTTGAGGCACAATTGCATTTGGATTGATGAGCCTCCAGCTGTGCACAGCTCTAACTTGATTACAGCTCGCTGCTGTCCTGGTGGAATATATCTGGGAATCACACAGTGCTGAGAATGATCAGTTGCAGACGTGGAGGCTGCAGAGCCCATATATGGGCCCGCAGCAAATCTAACCCTGCAAATTGACTAAATTTCTCTGTTCTTCGGAGTATTTAAACTTCTTTTCTTTTTAAAAGCACAGTTGTGGTTTGCTGAAAGCTCATTTCTTCCGCTTTGTAAAAATGATTTTGTGTGCCATTAAGTTAAATGGTTTAAATATAAAAATTAAAGTGATTTTTATATCAAGACATGGGAAGTGCTAGCATGACCACCAAGCTATTTTGCTTCAAGTAACTGCTTGCTTTGCATCACTCTGTCTGTGGCCACGTCCTCCTCCAGCCTCCTGCAGGGTTTTTGGGTGCTGTGCATTCCTGGCTGCTGGGATGCTGTTTTGCCAGCATGGCACAACACACAGCAGGACCCAAATCACGTCCTGGGGGCTGAAGGCAGCCTTAGCACAGGGCTGTGCTGCAAAACTGCAGTTCTGCTCTCAAGCAGCCCCAGCTGATTGCACAGTGATTTCTTTTGTGAGCAAGGAATTGTGTTTCGAATTTGGGAAGGATAAAAGCAGCAGAAGCTTTAATTTTAATTCCTGTTCTTTCCCTGTTTTCTTTGGCTCCTAGGGCAGGAGGTTTGCAGCACGATTCACAAACCCTCCCAGGACATTCTGGATCATCTTGTCCATCACATTGCTTTTTGCAGCTGTTGGCATCAGCGTTGGGGGGATTCTTTGCTTCTCCCATAGCTCTGCCCAGGTAAGGATCTCACCCAGGGCAGAGAGCTTCCTCCTGCCCACAGCCCACTCTGTGCCTGGCAGCTCCTCCAGCCTACAGAGCACAGCGAGCAGCGAGCTGAGCAGCTGCTGCTCACCCTGCAGCATTGCTGCCAGGAACCATTGCTTAAATTAGAGGAACTTCCACGCTTCATTTGTAAACCTAGACCCAAGCTGGCATTTTGCTAAGCACGCAGCTCCCAGCATGTTGCTGTATTTGCTAATGGACTCTGCCAGGCAGTATAGAACAGCAAAAGATTCAGGGTGGGTATGCAGGAGGGGAGATGGGGTGTGTGTGGGTGCTGAACATCTGATGGCACCACTGCCCTCTCTCTGTGCCAGGCTGGACCACAGCTCAGCCGGATCACACTGCACGGGGAGCAGGACGTGCCGAGGAACCAAACAGCCACAGTTGATGTGTCCAGGAGCACTGTCACCTATTACATCACCTCACGGAGTAACCGCAGTGCCATTGTGCTGTACGACAGCCAGCATGTGAGTGTGCTGCGTCGCGTCCTGCTGCTGGGGTCTGGGTGCAAAGCAGGAAAGCACAACCTGCTGCTGTTCCGTCTGCATCCCCAGCACCGTGCAGAGCTGCAGTATCACACTGGAGATAAGCAGCCACAGTCTGCTCGGGATGCACTGGGCACAGCATGGCCACAGCAGTTGATGCTTTGTTAGGGGGGAAATAATGCTCCTGGGCAGCACTGCTTGCTGTAGTAAGACACATCTGTCTCCCAGGGCTACGTGTGCTACAGACCTGCAGAGCAGCATGCCTGCTACCTGCGCACAATGGACCCTGAGGACCGTGAAACCGCACAGGTGATGCTGAGTGCAACTGAGCAGAGGGTGAGCGATGGGCAGCATGAGTTGCTTGGGCAGAAGTAGGGACTTGCACAGAGCCCTGGCATGCTGACTGCTCTCCCTGCCAAGGACAGTGCCTTCTGGGCAATGCTTTGATTCCCACAGGGCTCTGAGGAAGGATGCAGACAGCTCCCAGTGTTGCTGAGAGTCTGTCTGTGAGAAAGAGCAGAGCTGCGGGTTGGGGAAGGGGGCTATGTCCCACAGATGTGAATAGCAGAGCTTTCACAGAACCCAATCCCACTGTATTTGGTTACCTGCTCAAAATTCTGGGGAAAAGGAAACAAAAAGGTTTTGTTAGCAGTGTGCAGGGAAGAAAATTGAAGTCGATCACGTATACAGACCCTGTGAGCAAACTGCTAATGGATGCATGGAGGGGGCAGAGCTCCTGTTTCAAGCAGCCAGATGCCTGCTTTGTGCCCCTGCCAGCTGCTCCCTTTCCTCAGACCAGGACTGCCCCAACCCAGCCGGGACAGAGAAACATAGGAACTGGCAGCTCTGAGTTCTAAAAGGGATGGATGGGGACGGAAGCAGCTGCCAGGAACTGGGGCTCCTTAATGAGTGCTTTCGCTTAATGTGAGGCACTTTTTGGGTGAGTTGGATGTGGGAGCCGGGCTCAGGCTGAAGGAGCAATTAGGAGCTTGGGGGAAATAACAGGGCTTTTTTTTTTTTTTTTCCAGGGTGACAAACTGCTACTCCGGAATAACCAGACCAAGTACTACAGGGAGTTCCTGGGCATCGTGGCAGGGAAACAAGTGGACCCCAACGGCCTGGGTGAGGCCATCCAAGCTCTCTGTGAGCAGACGTCCATCTTCTGGGTCCAGAGAGCAGATGGTAAGCTGCATCTCCTTTTGCAGAAGAGGAAAGCAACTTTGGTTGAGGACCTCAATAAGAGCAGGGCTGTGCTGCACAAAAGTGAATGGGCTGCCAAGGCAGGGACAGGTGACCTCTGCTTCAAAATCAGGCCATTGTTCAGTCATTGCTGAACTGCTGGCTCACACCCACAACCCGCAGCGAGATGCAGTGCTGCTTGGAGGCTCTGTGCCCCTTCCCTGAGCAGCACGGCTCTGGCTCTCTGCGATGCTGTTGGCTTAACACCTGTCACCTTCACTTTCCCTAGAGGCAATCTGCAGCTCTCACCCTGGCCTTTCTTCTGCTTTAACGAGAAAGGTCATTCCCTGAGGCATTCCACGAGTTTGGCTCTCTAGAGACTCATAGCTACAGGGCTGCAAAAGCATTCCTCTCACCATGTTTCTTGTCCTTGCTCATTTGGCAGGTCCAGGGAAGCAGCGGTTGATCTACCTTTGCATTGACATATGTTTTCCAAGCAATATTTGTGTGTCTATCTGCTTCTATTACCTTCCTGATTAAGCCTTGCAGCCACAGATGCCCTCTCACTGCTCTACATACTTGAACTGTATTCCTGAAAAGCCTCTGATTTCAGCAAGGAAGGTAACATCTACAACACTGCCTAAAAGCTTCCTACTGATTTCATGCTGCCGTTCAGGAGAATTTAGGTAAAGCAACTCTGCTCAGCGCTGTTGGTACAGAACTTTATTTGCCGCTGCAACCCAGGGCTGCATCTTGTATGTAGGCAGTAGATCTAGACAGAGGAACCACATGGAGTAGCTTGTGTTTTGTGGCCATGTGCCCTGTTCGATACTGGGTTGTTATACTTGCTGGGGGTGGTGGTTTTCTAAGAGAGCAGATCTCCAAGAAAGTCTGTGAAATACATATTTGAATAAAGGGACTGCAAAACAAGAAAGCAGCCGCCTTTCCTCTCCGTTCAGCCCATTCCATCATTTAGAAAGGCTGATTTTTTCCACTTTGGGAAAAAAAAAAATCACAAGGCTGTCAACAGCAGAAGCCACAGGGATGTCTCCAGCAGCTGCTCTGCACCCAGCTCCCCTCAGTGGCACCGTGCCTCCCATTCCCTTTTGTCCCAGCAGCCTCCCTGGGAGGCCAAACACGTTTCAGTAATGGTCTGCCTGAAGCTGAAGTCTGGTGTTGCTCCAGGCAGCTGCCAGAGTGAGTCCTCTCCACCAGGGGAATGGGGATGGCTACAAGCACATCTCAGGGTCCAGAGAGGGTGCTGGCTGTTTTCAGACAAGGGAAAACAAGCAGAGGTCCTTTTGTTCCAATACAATCATTATCCCAATACGCTGTCATTGAAAGCAAGGCAGACGACTGCTTTTTGGTGCCCACTGTATTCTCTCTTGATCTCTCCAGTCTCCACACACCACAGTCTGGCCAAGTTATCTGAAGAGGCTGGAACAGAATGAGAAAAGAGGAGGGAGAGATATTGTTACACTTGAAGTTGTTTGCTTTTTTTTTTTATTAGAAGAAATACTGTCCTCTTGCTTCATTTGACAGTTATGAGCATTAATGGTGATAGGCAAGGGAGCTGTGCAGAGCAAGAAACCTGGTGTTTCTGTATTGGGATTTTCAGTAATTCAGACAGAAATTACTGTGGAAATTACAACGTTTTGAAAGAACTATTGTACTGCAAATGCTGCAAGCAGCATGTCTACCAGGTGAAATGAACTGCACAAGAGGATCATCTCTCCAGTTTTAACAGAGCATCTGTTGCCTCCTATTATAGCACAGGCTGAAAGCTGGAGGGATTTCATACAGTGCAGTGGGCGTGAGACTGGGTGCTCTAACAGAGGAGTCTTCTTTTCTTACATACATGGGTGCTCTAGGGTTTGGCAGTGTTCCACCAAGAGAACCTGCTAGGTCCTGTGTCACCATCCAGCAATGCCCCACCAGCCTGCAGGCAGGAAAGGAGGATCTCACCTGTGACAATGTACTGTGAGTCTCCAGAGAAAGCACAGTCCCACATCCAGCCACGAGAGGTTTCCCCTGGGTTATTGCTCTTAATGCTCAGCTCTGTCATCAAAGAGAAGTTTGAAGTCCTCCAGATCTTACATGTCTGATCTGCAGAACAGGTAGCCAAGAGCCTGCAAGGATAAGATAGGCACAGGTAATCTTATTAGTCATGCTGTACATTTAAAGGCCTCATTAATGCAGGCCTGGAACAATAATGAACTGAAGCCCTGTGTACTTAGTAATCAGATTTCTTTACCCCATATCATCTGCCTTACGAGATTCAAGCTGAACTGATCTGGTGGAGGAGCACACTCACGTGGAGTCGGGGCTGAATTTGCACTGCAGGGCGTAGCGGTTGTGTGCTGGGATTTTGGTCTTGGGGATCAGCTGGGTTACCTCCTCTCCAATGCCACCTGTCAGGTTCCACACGTAGCAGTTTCCCTGTGAGGAGATGCGAGGTCTGTAGCTGGCTTTGAGGCCCTCAGCCAAAAGCAGCCCAGACTCTGCATCCCATCACAGCAGAGCAAAACTGTGTAGTGCATGGAAACTGGCTGCTCTGCCCCACAAGGACAACCCAGAACTGTAAATCCCATCCCATGCCCAAGCTCACCGAGCTGTTAACAGCTGCCATGTAGCTGGCATCAGGGTCAATGTGCACAGAGTTCACGGAGACTTCAGGCTCTGGAATCAGCTGCTCATTGTGGTCTGTTTTCAGGTCCCAGATGTGAATGGCTCCACTCTGGTCACCCACAATTAATTCAGCCTGCAAGAAAACAGTGACTGTGTCCCTCTGGGAAGAACCTCCCAAACAGCAGCCTTGGAGCCGAGGTCCAGAACCAGCCCATCCAGCACCAGAGCCCCGCTCTGCTTTAAAGCATTGGGGTCCCCTTTCAATGGACTACTCCCTAGTAGCTGGGCCTCTGCTTGCTGCTGGGAATAGTTTCAAAGCTCCTGCTCATAGGCAAACTGCAGCCTGCTGAGCACCCCATGCGCTGACAGCAAACCAGGCATCAGTCTTACCTTGCACTGTGCAAAAAGGCTGTTTAACTTAACAGAAGTGTTTGCTAATTTTATAAACCCCACTGCAGAGAACAGGTGCCTGGTTTCCAGAACTGTTGTTTGGAGCAGAAGCTAAACAACATCAACAAAGGCCAAATGATTTACAGCATGTCTGAGCAGAGAGTATGAGGATGTAGTTTGGCCAGTAAACAGCTGAAGCACCCAAGAGCATACAGATACCTAAAGAACACAAGCCTAAGTGGGTTCTTCTCTCTCTCCCCTGCTCCAGGAGCCAGCTGAAGGGCAGCAGCTTTGGCTCCAATCCCTGCTGCTCAGAGCAGCAGACAATGCTGGCAGCTCTCCATTAAAACCAGGACTTTTTATCGACAGACTTACACTGTCCATAATTTTAGCAGAATCCCTAGAGGAGATCAGGTCATCGGGTGCAGCTAATCCTGTACCTGTGACCAATGGCTTGCTTCTGGGGAAGACAATCATCCCTTGATATATTTAGCTGACCGTGTAGTGCAGAGGCATCTCCTGGGCATCTCCTTGTCCACTCTTAGCAGCAGTTGCAAGAACAATTCTAACATTGCCACAGCTTTACCCAGGCCATGAGAAATCCCTCCGAGAGTCAGCAGCTCCACAGCATGAATTGCACAGACAGGACGGAGTTATCTGATTAAATACTGCCACCTCTGGGCTAACTAACTGTCCTGTTCACAAGCCATTGCTCCTTCAGTAACACAGCCATAGTGATTATTTTGCATGCATGATCTATGTACAATATTTGTTTTAATGCAACACATTCTGAGTCCTATGGTGCTGCAGCAGCAACATTTGGCTGAAGTCCGTTCCAAATGACCAATCTCACATTTAGTGCAGAACTCAGCATTCTGAGCTTTTATAAAAATCAAAAGCAAAGAAACATTCCTATTATTCATCTTTTAAAAAGGTTTGCTTTGAGAAAAAAAACAACCTTATGCTGCTTTGTCTGCAGCTCCCACCCTCCAGTACCATGGATACAAAATGGACCACATGCATTACAAACACTGCAATGATACGCATCGATTTTCACCACCATGCCCACTAATGCATCCCCACCACCCCCATTAGCTTCATTTCCTTAGCCTGAGCGACCTCTGTGACAGCTTCTGAACTGAGTGGTGGATCTCCAGCAAACCCTGAAGACACCTAAATGGGGCTCTTGGCCTCTGATTTTTTCTGCTGGCAGTGCTATCCCCTCTCGTGCCACCTGCTGCCCTCCCATCACATCTGGTTTTATTCATGGGATGGTCTCAAAGGGATGAGAGTGGGACGAGAGGCACTGCGCTGTCTCCGTCCAACAGCCAGCAGGTTAATTAGCACAAACAAGCTCAGCAGAGTCCTATGGCTGCAGCACGCGTGCAGAATGAACCGCACACAAGCCAGGGACATCTGCTGGCTGCCAGCCCTGCTCGAGGATGTTTGCTCCCTGACAGGGGCAGGGACACACTCTACCTGCACCAAGCCGGGTCATGCAGCAGCTGCTCTGCAAGGAAGCAGATGGACGTGCAGCTGCAGCTGCTGCTGCTGATCCTGCAAAGCTACCAAGAGCTGAGTTCACGCAACCAAGACCATCAGCCTTCCCATGGGCTCAGCAATGTTTCAGACTCCCAAGCATTTAGCGAGCATCACCTTTTCCAGGAAAGACAGTGACAAATGCGTACCTGGTTGGGGTGCAGGCAGACGCAGTTAATGGGAGCATTCACTTGGAAGATCCGCTGGCACTGCAGGTTACGAGACCTGCAACAAGAAGACACTGAATGAGCCCACATGAGCCTGCAGAGGAACGTCCCCTTCCAGCAAGCCCTGTCCTCACCTGAGGTCCCATATCCGTGCCATGCAGTCCTCTCCACCCGTGTACATCCAGCGGCCGTCCTCGTGGAAGCCAACGGAGGTGATATTCTTGCTCACGCCGTCGTAGTTGATGACGGGGTTGGGGTTGTTGGAGTTGAGGTCGTACATGCGGATGTGTTGGTACCCTGCGGCGGCAAATAAGGCTCAGCGGTGCGGGGGGTACCAGTGACCCCCAGCACCCCGGGGCTCACCTGCAGCCGCAATCATGCTGCGGTCGGGCGTGATCTCCAGGGCGTTCACCTGCTGCCGGCGGTGCTAAGGGCAGCAGCGGGACCCCACAGCAGGAATCCCTTGTCACACAAACACTCCCTCTCCCATCACACAGAGATCCCACTGCAGCACCACGACCACCCAAACCGGGCCCCTCTCTCAAGCCGGGACCCCCCCGTGTCACACCGTAACCCCGTGTCACACCGGACTCCCCCCTCCCCAGGTACTCCCCCCCCCCCGCGCCCGCCCCGTGGCAGGATACGGAGTCCTGGTGCTGCACGGTGCGGGTGCAGATGCCGCTGTGCGCCTGCCAGAAGCGCACCGTGTGGTCGTACCCCGCGGTGGCCAGGATCACGGGATCGCTGCCCACCGTGCCCTGTGCCGCGTTCATGGCGGCGGCGCCGCGAGGAGCCGCTCAGGGCTCCCGGCCCCGTGGCGGCCGGCGCGGAGGGCGCGGGAGACTCTGCGCATGCGCCAGGCAGCCGGCGGCCGCTTTGCGCGAGCGCGGGACACTTTTCCTCAGCGCGCAGGCGCGCGATCGGTGACATAAGAAGGAGCATGCGCAGAGAGCCGAGCGGTGAGCGCTATGCGCAGGGCGTGGGGGGGTTGAGGCGGGACTGCGGGGTGTAGTCAGCAGTGAGTTACGTGCCCAGCGCTGCCGCCAGGGGGCGCTGTGCTGGAAACGGCCTCGTCGCACCGAGCAGAATAGAGGGAGGGTGGCGGCTATATGGGGATGCGGGGCACCGGGATGCGGGGTGGGGGCACGCGGGGCGCACGCGGGAAGCACGCGGGAAGCACGCGGGAAGCACGCGGGAAGCACACGGGGCACACGTCTCGGGGCCGGCAGGGCTCAGAACCAGCGCGGAGTCGGGCCCCGCCGTGCCGGTGCCGATGCAGCAGTGCTGTCGGGCCCTTTAAGGGCGGCGGCGGCGGCCGTGGGGCAGTGCTCGTACCCGCGGCCGTGCTCGCGCCCGAGGGCTGCCCGCCCGGTACCGCACCTACCGGTAAGGGGCGCGCTCCGGGGACTGGGGCTGTCCGGTGGGTACCAGGGATGCCATGTGGGCACCGCACCGGGAGGCGCAGCCGTTCCCCGAGGCGGGCGGTGCATCCCTCTCCCGACACTGCGGGATTCGGGGGATCGGGACCGGGCGCGGCGGTACCGGGGCTGAGGCGGGGATGCTCCGGGAGCGGGGCTGAGGGCTGGGCTCGGCGCCGTCGCCCCCGCACGCACCGCCGCGCTGCGGCAGCGTGGGCTTCGCATGGCAACGGCGGCGGGACGGCCGGGTACAGCGCTGCGCGGCTCCGGGAGGTAAGCGAGGAGCGGGGCTGGGCGCTTTGGGTGTGCGGTACGCGGCAGGTGGCCCCGAGGTGCGCGCAGCCATGCGCGGGAGCCGCTGCTGCCCTCGGTGCTGCTGCCCGGCACCAGCAGGATCTGATCCGGACAACCTGCGCTCAATTCGAGTTAGATAACGTATATTATAAACGCCCAGTCTTGGCGAACTGACAGCCTCTGTCCAAATATTTATACGCGCTCTGATCAGGAGCTGTGTTGCCATGGCAGTGCAATTAGCACTTGGTCGATTAACGGCCTTCCTGCGGCCAAGAGGTGCTGAGCTCCCCGTACCACGGGAGCCCCATGCCCTCCCGCACCCGCACTGCTCCTCCCACGAGGGCTGACGCATCGCTGCCGGGAGCATCCATCGCCAGGCGGGATGGAAATGGTGCAGGGATGGGATGGCACAGAGCGAGTGCCGCCGTTGTCCCCTGTGGCACACCAGGAGCATCACAAAGCGCATCCATGCCACACACGAGGCACATCACACGAGCACAGGGCGCAACCTGCGGCGATGGGCTCAAGGATGCTCAGCACACACCCGCACGTTGCTGCCCTGCCCTGCCCTGTGCCAGGGCCTCGTGCTCTGGGCACAGCGCGCCCCGTGCTGCCCTGCGGGATACGCTGGGTCCGGGTGCAGCGCTGCCCTGCGCTGTGCTGCGCGGGAGGAGGTGTCAGCAGGGATTAGGGTTGCATCTAGAAAAGGGCTAATTCAGAGCCCACGGCGCTGGGCGGATCGCAGCAGCTCTCCCCTGGTGCCACCGTTCTGGCAACACAAACAAAACCTCACAGTCAGCTGAGCGGCTCTGCAGCAGCAGCGACCAAAATCTTTTTTTTTTTTTTTTTTTTTTTTTTTTTTCAGTTTCCAAATGCAGTCAGTGCTGAATTTAACCCTAGAAGGGGCCGCTCGCAGCTGCCTCACTGCTGAGGGGTCTGACGGTTATGTGCAGGAATGGGTGCATGGGATGTGCTCTTCTTCCCCAAGGAAGTGCATTGGAGCTGCAGGTGTATGTGGGTTCTAGAGTGGTTCCTGCAATGCCAGCTATATGGGAACCGATGTGACTCTCTGTGTCAGAGCTGGCAGCATCCTCCACAGTGAGGAGGTGGCACCGTGGGGTCCAAGCACTGTGCTGTGGGTCCAAGCACTGTGCTGTGGGTCCAAGCACTGTGCTGTGGGTCCAAGCACTGTGCTGTTCCTCTCTGTGAGCACAGAGGGGGCTGGGCAAGGAGAACCTGCATTGCAAAGCCTGCCTTTTCTTTGGAATCATTTTCACGGGGTTTAGTGGATCACCATCTCAGGAGTTCTTCCAAGTGGTCTGGGGAGAGGGTGTGGAAAGACATAAAATGCATTTTTATGAATCTTAATGGTGACAGCTCTTTGGAAGGAACTCTTCCCTGTACCTCTCATGTCCTACATGTCTCATGAGAGATCCAACATCGGTTTAATCCACCACATCTCTCCCACTCCGCAGTGCGTCCTGCAGACCCTGGACAGCACAGGGTGGTTGTGCTGTCAACCTTCTGCCTTCTGTGAGGAAAGCACTGCTCCTCCCACCGGGCTCAGACCTGAGGGTGTTTGCTCCTGCCTCGCTCAGAAGCTGAGCACAGGTCCTGGAGGTGCCATGCCTGCCCTGTGATGCCACCTGGCACAGCTGTCCCATGATGCAGCCCTGATCCCATCACTCTCAGCGGTGGCACAGGAGCACACAGTAACAGGACCTGCCTCACTGCTGCTGCCTTGTTTGCATTGGTGGAGCATAAGGAGGCTGTGCTCACAGGCAGAGACAAAGGCACTGGGGTGCACAAGGTAGGAGGGACATGGGATGGCTCCAAGTATGGCCCTGAGGAGGACCAGGGTGGCTGAAGGGGTGTCCCCCCGTCCCTTTTCTCTATGTGCCCTGTGCTTGGGGTCTCTCTATGGCTGCCCAGCCTGGGTGCTGTGGCATGAGCAAACCTCTTGTGTGTGCCCACAGCGATGGCCTTCCAGCGGAGCCACAAGCTGAACCTGCTGCGCATTGCTGTGCTGCTCCTCGTGGCCTTGGCTGGCATCAAGTTCCTCTTCCGTGACAGGTGAGGTGGGAGCAGGAGTGGGACACAAAATGGTGTCCCAGTCCTGTGGGGGCTTGGTGCTGGGGGTATACCTCTGTGCCTCCCCAGCTCCACTCTGCCCCACGCAGCTTAACCCTGCAGCTTCACAAGCACATCAGCAAGGACAGCACATTCTGGGGGGATGCGCAGGACTCTGGCCCCCAAAGCCAGGCTGTGGAGGTCCAACCTGCAAAGATCACGGCCCCAAGGCAGGGACCTAAGCAGCAGTTCCCCAAAGACCTCAGTGCCACCGAGATGAGGCTCGTCCACCTGGACCTGAAGGGAGCTGCTCCCAGGGTCTCCTATCTGGAGCAGGTGAGGGTGCCTGGGGACCGGGCAGTCCTGGGGTCAGACTGACCAGGCTGTGCCTGCTTGCTGAGCTCACTTTGCCATCCCACAGCTGTTCCCACTCCTGTCCCAGCTGGGAGCCAATGGGATCCTGATTGAATACGAGGATATGTTCCCCTTCAAGGGGGAGCTGGAGGTCCTGAAGTCCCCCTATGCTTACAGGTGAGCGGGGCTGGTGCTGGTGGGGAGATGGCAGCACCACTGGTGGTAGTGCTGGGTGTGACTTGCATGGGCTGTGCCCAAGATAGTAGTGCTGGAGCTGCATTCATGCCTATTTCCTGCTGTACGGTGTCAATATTTGGGTCTTTAGTTCAGGCATGGAAATCCAGGAGGTGTGGGGTGGAGCAGGGCATCTGGGGCACGGCAGGGCAGGGTGCTGCAGAAGGAGGGAATGTTCCCATACACTCTTGCCCCCACTGAGGCTGTCCCTGCCCTCCCCAGTGAGGAGGACGTTGAGTGGATCCAGCAGCTGGCAGAGCTCCACAAGCTGGAGGTGGTTCCCCTGGTGCAGACCTTCGGTCATGTAGAGGTAGGGGCCAGGAGTGCTTGAGGGGGGGCTGAGGGGTGGGATGGGGACCCCGAGTAGTGGAGACACCTCCAGGGTTGGGGCAGTCACAGCACAGGGTTGGGGCAGTCACAGCACAAAGTGGCCTGGGGCTGTGTCCCGAGTCCCCAGCACCTGTCTTGGGGATGGAGCTCTGGTTCTTGTCCTCCTCCCCCCCATGGTGGTTTTCCTCCCCACACAGTTCATCCTCAAACACACCAAGTACCAGCACCTGCGGGAGGTGGAGCGCTTCCCCAACAGCTTCAACCCCCATGTCCCGGACACCCTGGCATTGCTCAAGGTCATCCTATCACAGGTGATGGAGAAGCACAGGCGCTCCTCGTGGATCCACATTGGTGCAGATGAGGTGGGCGGGAGGTTAAATGAGACCCAGACATTGCCTGGTGCCAGGCCTGCTGAGCATCCCCAGCCCCACATGCAGGTCTTCCACCTTGGGGAGGGAAAGGACTCCAGGAATTGGATGAGCCGCAACAAGGGTGACACAGGAACCATATACCTGAACCACATCAAGGAGGTGCTGGACTTCATCTCCACACAGTACCGGGGACTGCGGGTGCTCATGTGGGATGACATGCTGAGGAAGATCAGTGTGGGAGCCCTGCAGGGTGAGGGGCTGGGGATGGAGATGGGACAATGTCTTGTCATTGTGGTGGAGATGTGAGTGGTGCCCAGTGTTCATGTCACTGTTCCTGCCCTACAGAGTCTGGGATAGCAAAGCATGTCTCACCTGTGGTGTGGTTCTATGCACCTGACTTTGACGCAGAGCAGATTGGTAAGGTGCCATGCCGGGACCCCAGGGCTGCTCAACAAGAGGGGACAGTCCTGGGGCTGGTGATGCTGCCACTGTGATCTGTCCCCGTCCGAGCTGTGCCTACCACCCTGTTCCCCGCTGCTGCAGGGCAGTTCATCACCAAGTACCTGGAGAGCGGCTTTGAGGCCGTGTGGTTTGCCAGTGCCTTCAAGGGCACCACGGGCCCTACACAGAGCTGGCCCCCACTCAGCTCTCACCTGAAGAACCAGCTCAGCTGGCTGCGGGTGCGCGAGGCCATGCCGCGCTTCGCCCCGCTGCGCTTCCAGGGCATTGTCCTCACCGGATGGCAGAGGTGAGGGCCACAATACATGCATGCCATCCCCTACGTGACCCCATGTGAGGCCCTGGCACTCCGTTCCCATCCTGCAGGTATGACCACTACTCAGTGCTGTGTGAGCTGCTGCCTGTTGGCATTCCTTCCTTGGCGATATGTCTCCAGACCCTGGTGAACGGTGAGCTCCCTCTTCCCCCTCTTTCCACACTGCAGCATCCTTGGAGGCTTCACCCCTCTGTTTTGGCATGGCCATCTCCAGGGGGATTCACGGAAGAGACGCGGAGAAAGGTGCTGGAGGTGTTGGGCTTCCACAGCATGCAGCTGGAGCAGAGCACATGGTGCGTGGCCAGGCAGGAAGAGTACATGGAGGGATCGGATGCTGGGTTCACCACCCGTCCTGGGATCTCCCTTCTTCATGCTTTCCCTGCAGTGAGGGAAGGGGAGCGTTCCCTGGGGCAGAAATCTATCACATGGTGGAGCAGGTGAACAGACAGCTGAAGGAGAGCATCACCAAAATGCTGGAGGAGGAAAGGTAACACAGGGGAGAGCTCCGTTATGAGCATCCCTGCAGCAGAGGGGGCCCATGGGGCCTGGTGTGGTCCTGTGCCCCCTTACATTCCTATCCCCTTGTGCCTCTTCAGTGCCATCAAGGGCTGGTTCAGCCCCTACCACCGCAAGCACCAGTTTGGCAACCCTCGCAACATGGAGAGCTTTGGCAGCAAGATGCTCAAGTATGTGTGGGGGCTTGGAACACCCCCAGCCCTGCAGGGGGCTGGGAGAGGGTCCTGGTTTGTCTCTGTGGCGTGTTCCCACTCTGCTCTCCCCACCCCAGGCTCCATGAAGAGTGGGAAAGCTTTGTCCGGGACCTGCATGCCCGCCTGGAGAGTATCTACTTCCCTGACACAGTGGAGGAGTGGATGGAGGAGAATGTCAACCCCTACCTGGACCCTCTGCGGGACCTAGTCCGGGATTACCGTGCCATCGTCCGCCTCAATGCCCAGCCCAAGGCACCTTAGGGGCTGTGTTTCCCCATGGACTGGGCAGTGGGGGCCATGGGAATGGTCTGTTTGCTGGCCTGCACCCTTCTTCTGTTCAAGGCATGACTGTGGTTTGTTTTGTACTGCACAGAGAGCCCTGGCATGCCCCACTTCCCAATAAAGTATTTTTGTAGATGCTGCTGAGTGATGGGGGGCTGCAGCTGTGCTCCCTCCCTGCCTGCATAGAGGAAATGGGGCTGGGAGGAACAGATCATCCCTGTCTCATCCCGTGGAGACCCCTGCTCCTCAGGGAGGTCTCAGCTGCTTGGGGCTGGGACTGAAGCTGGTGAGTTTGGTTGAAACATCTACTACAGGCAGAGAGGGGGCAGCCACTGTCCCACAGTGTAGCTGGGCTCCTGGGGCTGGCCATCTCCCTGCAGTACATCACCCAGCACAGTGAAAGTGATGCTGGGGGCAGAGGCAGCAAGGTGAGGGCTGCTTTGAGCTTTTCCATGCCTCAGTGTGCCTCGGTATGAAGGCCTGGCAGCGTCCCCCAGCACCTGCTCCACATCTCCATGGCTGCTTTCAGCAGCAGCAGCCGCCACTGACTCCCTGATGGCTGGGAGGGAAGAGAGCAGCACTCGCTTCCTGCACCGAGCTCTTCCCAAAGCCTTTCATCTCTCTCTTCCTCCCTCTCAGCCAGTGCCTGGAGCCTCCTGTGCTGGTAGTGCTCACTGTGATGTGCCACCCTCCTGCAGCAGTGCTGCATCTAGGGGCTCTGTGTAGTGGGGGGGCAGGTCCCGTGTACCCCCAAATCCACAGCTCCCTGAGTGCAGGGCACTGATTGCAGCTCTGTGTGCACAGAGCAGGGATGCAGATGGTTCACTGCATGGAATTCTATTCTGCAAGGACCAAACGGGCTTGGCAAGAGCCTGGAAGGAGCTGCAAGGGTACAAAGTTGTCCGAGGCTGCTGCTGCAGTGTGGCTCAGAGGGGCAGGAAGGGTGCACAGCTTTGCTGCTTGGTTCTAGCTGCAGGGATCCTGGTGTCTTGGAGGCTGTGGATGGGAGAGCTTCACTGCAGAGGGCTGTGGGTACAAAGAGGTCTTTGTGGAGAAGACACGGTTATGTCCTTGCATGGTGGCAGCTCCCAGCCCAGGAACCCCGCAGCAGTTCAGGTCCCCACACAGCCATGCAGTGCCAGCCTGTTGGATTAGAGGACAGATTAGGCAGCGTTTTGTGCTGGAAACCTAAATGTCCTGGATTGGAAAGTGGGGGTGGGGAAAAGAGAAGCACCCTGGTGGGGGGTCACCCAGAGCAGGGGGGCTGCAGGGAGAGCCAGGGGCTGCAGAAGGTGTCCTTAGGCTGCAGCCTGAGGGTATGGACGGGCCTGGGGTGGGCAGGGGCATGGCAGTGGCAGGGGAGCTGTGTTTATATTTGGATGTTGCTTTGCACTCCACATCCTTTCTTCTGCTCCATGCACCTCTCCATGTCCTGCAGCTGCCTGTCCCCATATGTTGCTCTCTGGGATATCCTGCAGCTGCTCACTCCTGCTGTCCTGCTGTGACCTGTGCATGTCAGTGGGGTGCCAGCCTTTTGGGGTCTGCAGATTGGTTATCCCTTCTGTCAGTGTGCTTCCAGAGAATGTTTATAAATAAGGTGATAGGTGCCTTATATATATAAACATAAATATTTATGTATGTATAAATAAGTTTGTATATAGGTTATTTTGCCAGAGCTGGGCCCCTAGTGAGGCTTTTAGGCAGTAACTCACCCAAGAGAGAGAAATTTGAGTGTGATTCTGTGCTGTGTTCAGCTCTGACCGGACACCGCTGGCACATTGATGGGGCCATCCATCATCACCCCATTTCCGAGACTGTTTGCAGCATCTTCATATAGCCAGGTATCACCTCCCATGTCCTGATCATTTAGGCCACAAAAAAATTGCACGGAGACATATGTCACCAGCTACTGCGTCCACGGCAGTGGAAAATTAGGCAGCAATCAGGGCTTTATTTAACGAAACGGGAAAGCTGCTCAGCCCGGTTCCGCTATCAGCCACCCGGGGGCCGGCGGCGGTGACTGCAGAGGTCGGGCAGAGCCGGGACAGGCCCTAGGCGGGTGGGGGGCTGTCGCCGGGCAGAGCGGCGGGTCCGCCCCGCTCCGGGGGCACTGATTGCTGCCACCTCCCCCGGACTCGGCACCTTCCCCAGCTCCGGGGAGGGGATCCCCGCGCCCCGCCCGCAGGCACCGGGGTGGCCCCCCCCGCGCCTTCCTCCTCCCCCTCCTCCTCTTTTTCCCCCTCCTCCTCCTCCTCCTTTTCCTCCCCCCGTGCAGCCAGACCCCTCCCCGCGCGCTCGGGGCGGCCCCGCTCCTCCTTGCGGCCCCTCCCGGGGCTCCCCCCTCTCCTCTCGCATCGCCCCCGGGGTCGCCCCGGTGCGACTCCCCGTGCCCCCCGCCCCACCGCGCCCCGCCCCGCCCCGGGCGCCCGCCGCCCCCGCCTCCGGAGCGGACTGGGAGGGGGGGCCCGCGCCGCGCCGCGTCGCGCCGTGCGGAGCCGAGCCGAGCCGAGCCGCCCCTCGCCGCGCCGCGGAGGATGCTCGGGCCGTGAGCCCGCAGCCGGCAGCTCCGGCGCCGCGGAGCCATGGGCAAGGACCAGGAGCTGGTGCAGGCGGTGAAGGCGGAGGACATCGCGGCCGTGCAGAAGCTGCTGCAGAGGCCCAAACCCGGCAAAGCCAGTGAGTGCCGCGACGCGGGGCCGGGCCGGGCCGGGCGGGGGCGACGGCACCGCGGGCATCCCCCCTCCTCCCCGGGCATTGGCACCCACCCGCTGCTCCGGGGGCCCGGCCGAGTCGCGCCGTGCCCATCGCCGGCACCGCGGCACCGCGGGCGGGGGCCAGGGGGTATTCCCGGCTGCGCCCCGGGGGCACGGCCCGGCCCGGAGGTGGGGGGATATGGGGGGCTGCAGGCGGCGGAGCATCCCCGGGCGCTGCGCGGGGCTGCGAGGAGCCGTGTGCGCTCTGGTCCCGGTGCGGTCCCGGTACGGCCCCGCAGCAGCTCCGATGCGCCCGGGGCAGGCAGGCAGGCAGCGGCCGGGCTGCCCTTGTCCTGTGCTCGGAAGCAGCCCGCGGGGGGATCGGGAGGGACGAGGGGCTGCCGCCCCAGGGTAGGGCTGGGGGCGTCTGAGCATCTGTGTGTGTACAGTGTGTGTCTGCATAGACCATACATGTGTGTGCATGGACAGCGTGTGTGTGTGTATGCACCAGGACTGCCGGTGCTTGCACACAGCTGCGTGTGCCTACGTGTGTGCAGCTGTGCTCGTGTACGTGCGTGTTCGGGTGTGCATGTGTGCCCGTGTTTGGGTGCATGTCTGTGTTTGCGTGCCGGTGTGTGCCCTGGCATATGTGTGTTGGGATGCGTCTGTGTTGGTGTTTCTCTGTGTGGGGGTGTTTGGATGCATCTCCACGGGTTTCTCCCTGCGTGCAGCTCTGCATCGGGGCTTTGCACACCTCGGTGCGTGCACACCGATCTGTGTGTCTGTGCACGGGGCTGCGGGGGTGTAGCCGTGTCTTGCTGCGTACGTGTGTGCAGCTCCCGGAGTCTCTGCTCGGTGTGCATGGCTCTGTTGAGGCGTTTCACTCGGGACTGAATTATTCATGGTGCTGATGCAGCCGCAGGTTTCTGGCCTGGTGTGCAGGGCCAGGGGCTGTCCCTGAGTACGGGACCACAGCACACAGCCCCACTGCCACTGCGCCCTGCATCCTTCCCTCCCAGTGTGCCCTAAATGTGGGCACCCCATGGTCCCAGTGCCATGTAGGTTCGTGTGCTTTCCCTTTTATATACTGGGGTTTCTACTTGAGCAGGGCATTGTGCTCTCTATGCCCTGGTGCTGAGCAGGGCTGGCCCTCATGTCCCCTCGGTGCCGTGCAGGGTAGTGGTTGTGATCCTGTGTCCTGAACTGTTGGCATGGTGTTCCTTATGTCCAGATGCCACATAGGACAATTGTGGTGTCTCGCATGTCCCCGGTGTTGCCCAGGTGCTGTCAATGCTGAGGGCCTGTGTGGGGAGAACAAGCTCCAGCTGTGAGCTTTGTTCATCCCAACCCACTTCAGGTGCTGCTGATTCCATGGCCTCAGAGTGGTGTGTGATGATGGGACTGTGTGTGGCCCATGGCACTGTCCCCACACTCCCCTCTCAAACCCCACGGCCTGGGTGCCCAGCTGGCGTTGCTGTGGCAACAGGCAGTGGTGCCAGAGTGTTACCACCTCCTCCTGCATCGCATTCATCTCTCCACAGCCCTGCTGCATCTTCCACTGCAGAGCCCATGGGCTGGGGTGGCTGTGGGGACTGGCAGCGCTCTGTGTGCTGGGCTTACAGGAAAGGGACAAGGGACATCCCATGAGGTCAAACCCCCTCCTGTCCCATGCCTAGCTGAGCTGCATGCCTCCAGCTGTGCCAGAGCCTCTCGTGCTGTGACTCCTGCTCCTCATAGAACCCAACCTGTAGTGCCATGCTCCTGGTGTGGGGACACACGAGCAGCCCTGCAGCAGGGCTGGGGGATGCAGAACACCACCGGGGTGTCCCGTATCACCATCCCCTCTATGTACAGCTTCCTTGCTCACCTTGGGCACTCCCTGCACTCTTCGGCACCACGAAGATTTGTAACTCTAGCTCTGTTATCTGGATAATATCCTATTCATGTGGGGGTTTAATAAATGAGATTTTAAAAATCCCTGCGTGAATTAACACGGGTTACCATGGTGATGTGGGGCCCAATTTAGCAGAGTGGAGTAAGAGTTTGTGGGGCCCATGCCGGCCGCAGCGCGCACCGCGCTCGCTTCCCGGGCATCCATAATTGATGAGGTTGTCTGAAAGTTACGCAAATCAGATGCAGGGATTTGGCAGCAAACTGTTTCCCTCCCTGTCCCCTCCTCCCTGGTGCTACCTCGAAGAATTGTCATGACTTGGCGTTTTTGCCTCTGTCCGCAGCTTGGGCACTGTGGGGTGGGATGGGGGCCCGAGGTGTCCCCAGCTGGATCTGTCCTGGGGCGCTGGGCACCAGGAGATGGGTTTTGTTGTGCTGCTGCAGGGGACCCTCAGCATTGGTATTTTGGACAGGTGGGCTCTGTCTTTGAGGTACTGCTGCCACAGTTGGATCACCCACTTTGGAAATGGCTTCTGTAGGGCCCCTGCCTTGACCTGCGGGATGGACCCCTCTGCCCCAGTTTCTCCCACCTGCTGGGCTGGGGGTTCTGTGAATCACTTCTACATGCAGCAGGTTGTGTGGCACAGATGTCCTGGCTCATGTCCCCATGTGCTCTGGGTCCCTTTCTCCAGGACACCTGGAGCCAGGCTCAGGAGACAGACAAGAGGCTCAGCACCTCACACAACTCTCTGCCACGGGGCCCAGCCCAGCCTAACCCCACTACCATGGGGCACAAGCATCTCTCAGGATGCCTCTGCCCTGGACAGCAGCATGACTATGTTGCTACCTGCACTCTGCACCGTGTCCTGTGTGGCACTGGTGGGACCATGAGTGAAGCAGCTGGTGTAGGAGCTGGGCAGCTCTGTGCAGGTTGATGCATGGGGCGGTAAGCAGCATGGGTGGATGTTGGGACCAGGAGGCAACTGCAGCTCAGCAAACACTCTGAGGCTGCCCCACATTGGGCACTGCCTTCCCCGGGCACTGGGCACCTCCAGGCATAACACAGCTTCACCTGCTGCTTCACCATGTGAAGGGGTCAGTAGGTGAAAGCCGGAGGCAGGAGGCAGGAACTGGACCCTTTGGGGCACGTGGGGTCCCCACAGAGCCGTGTCATGCCCAAGGCCCAGGACACAGCATCCTGTCCTCTGATGTATCCTGAGAGGTGGCTAGTTAATTCTGCTTTTTTTTTTTTTTTTTTCCCTGCATTTGATTGCATTAATAATCTCCTCTGATAACAGTATTTAATAAAACCAGGCTAATATGGCGCAGTTAGGAAATGTCTTTGACATTTTACAATTCAATTTCCATGCAGTAAAAGGCAGGGCAGCTGCAAATCCAATTCTGGTGCAGTGCACAGGGCGCGCGTGGCCGGCGACTGCCAGAACAGCCCTGTTCCCCCCCATCCCTCCAGCAACACAGGAAACTTCCCCATCCATGGCTGCTGCTTGCGGCTCCTGCTGTTGCATATCCCCTGAGTGCTGCAGGGATAGCCACGTGGGATGCTGCCCTCTGTATGTGTTACGGGCCATGGGGAGATGCCCACCCCCAGCACAGGGGATGAAGTTGGCTCCCACTGCTGCAATGCTTAACAAGGTGTCAGTGCTTCCCTTATAAACTTCTTTTCAGGGTTTATAACTGCGTGTGAAGCCTTGCTCCGAGCAGGGACTTGGCAGCCGGGAGCACGCCGGCGTGCGCCAAGTTTCCTTCCAGAGGGGGATTATTACTCAGCTCGGGGTGACATGTATTTATTTTACATTTTCTTGCATCTCTCTCTGGCCGGGCCAAAGCTGCCGGCACAAACCCTCCCTTCCCGCTCCCGTTTTGGGGCCGACTGCAGGGTCTGGGCAGCAGGGAATGCAGGCTCCCAGTCCCGGGCTCCCGTGCTGGCCTGGATTTCCTCATGTCACACCGGGTGAATTCAGGGCTGCACCAATTAGTCCTTTGCTGCAGGCAGGCAGCCTCTTGTGTTGAGGCTCTCAGGGTGCTTCCCTTGCGGGGACCTCGTACTGCGCCACCGTGCTCCCCACAGCACAATGCTCAGTGGTGGGGGAAAACTCTGGGCATGGCCCGGACCAGGCTGGGCACCAGTGGCTTGGCGTCCTGGCAATGCCACCAAGAGCTCAGGGTCCTGGCAGTACCACAAAGTTCTCGGGGTTGCAGCAGTGCCATGGGACCGGGTGCTGCATGCAGCCCCATCTCCCCCTTCACAGCCGCCGTGTGGTTTCCCGTAGCCAGCCTGGCGTCTGGCTCTCTCCTGCTCCGGCTGCTCTGCCTTTAACCCTTCCCTTCCCCTTGCAGGCACTGGGAAAGGCCATGATTTCATCTATGGATCAGTGAGCCCGAGTGTCACCAGATCTCTCTATTCCCCTGTGCCTGCAGGGTCCCACTTTGTGACCCAGCAAAGGCGATGCCCATGAATGTGGCTGTGCTCAGCATGTGGCAGGCAGGAGCTGTGGGGTGCATCATGTAGGATGGTGATGCTTGAGGCTGTGTGTGTGTTAGCTTCCACATTGCTCCTGTTGCTGCCAGCATGCTCTATTAGTGCACTTTGTGTCTCAGGGACTGCTGCCCCTCCTGCTGAACACTCACCATAAACCTGCTCTGCATCCTCTTTGCAATGCAGGTCAGCTAAGGGTGCCTTTCACAAGTCTTCAAAGCACTGTAGGGAGTGCGTTAAAGAATGGATTTGCTGATGTTTAATGGCCGGTCTGCATTACTGCTGGACCAGGCTCCTGCAGGCAAGGAAAGGAGGCTGAGATTCAAAACCTGCTTGTGCTCTGTTCGGATGCTGCTGCTCTGTTCCTCTGTCCCTGCTTTGTCCCATTGCTCCAGAGGGGTGCTCTGTGCTGGGCCAGTTACCAAGCTTGTGTGCTGCACCAACAGCCACCTCTGCCTGATCACTGTCCCATCCTGCAGCAAGGACATGTGCAGGACAGCACAGCGTGCCCGGGCAAGGAGCAGCGCTGCCAACAGGTCGGCTCTCATGCCAGGCTGAGAGGGATCTTTAAGCTGTAATGAAATGTTAATAGTATT